TCAAAGCATACAAGTTAAAGGAGCAGAAAACTATGGTGTCTTTAGAGAACAACAAACGGAGAGTAGAGTTCACATGGGCTCACCAAAACTGAACAACAGAAGACTAGAAATTTGATCTCCACAACATGTAAGCTTGGATCCTATCTTACTGCTCGGGACCCTTTACTGATACATGAGCATAAAGCCCATGTGAAATCAAAATTTACAATATTTATTAGGGCTGGGCGATAAAATCGTTATCGATATTTATTCAAAAAAAGATTTGGTATGTTTCAGTATGAAGCACTGTAGTTTATTGAAATGTGGCGGCTGAGCATGCGCCTTGGAAGCAATGCCAATAAGCTTAGAGTAAATTTGACATTTCCAATAGAGGCACGCGACTAGCACGGCGCACATGTGAGCGACACACACATGTTGTGCAATCAGCGCACATTCGCCAGGCGTACCTAGTTGAAAACATCTCAACTTTTCAGAATGCCGCAACCGCACCGTGATTCATGCAACTAACCAATCTGCTTCACACTTTGTATGGAATATACACATTTCAGTGATAACTAATTACCTCAGACAAACACAGCGCACCAAAACACTGCAATGCTTTTTAAATTTTTTTCCATAAACTTGGCACCCTTTGAGAAAATGCTATTGTTGTCTAGGTACGAGATACGCCAGTGAAGCGTGACTATTGTAATGGTCAAAGAAACCACGCATTTGCGCATGCCACTTTAGGTTAGAATAAGAACACATGAAAAAAAGAGAGCCGTATAACAGAAGTGAGGAGATCGTAAATAGAAAGGATGGAAACTTGTCGCCAGAGTGGCTTTTTGGTTTCTTTTCTTGTGCATCTCAGCCACTAGTTCCCCATCTGAAAAAGTTTTTAGCATGGGTAATAATATAGTCATCCAACTTTACAATTTTTAATGTTTAGCATGTATTTGAATAATGACGGTTGATTTCTTTACTTGAAAGCTCAGATATGAACTTAAACACTAAATACTGAACTACGCTGTTTCAATTTACTATGATCTTTTATGTGAAGCTGCTTTGACACAATCTACACTGTACAAGCGCTATAGTAAATTTAATTGAATTAAATATGATTATCAGAATTTGTTTTGTTTACAGAGTTTGAGGTTTACTGTATCATTATTACTCACACCTTACAGATGTTGATCTACCTTAGTTGCACACACTTTGCAACATTTTATTTGTAAAGTTTTAGTCTCTTTAACACTTATCTTTGTTTTATTATAAAGAAATGAGATATTTTGTTTCAATATTTTTGCTTTTGACTATTACAACTATTATCTATAGTAATGTTGGAAAATTAAAATAAAGTAGTTGAATAAAAAAATTCCTAATATTCCTAAATGGATGGTTAAAATAAAATATTCAATAATCAAATGATATAAAACAGTATATCGTGATAATTTTTTTGCAATATCACCCAGCCCAAATGTTTATTTGGCTAGTGCACATTGTTTTTCTTTAGATAAACAATTAATCCTTGCAAATAATCCACTGGAAAAAAGTTTTTTTAATTTTTAATCAAATTCTGACCATTTGCTTTTGCTTCTTCCTCCCTTTAGTCACAATGAAGGCCACTCGTACCATAAGTTTGCTATGAGGAAGCGATGTGCAAAATGAAAGCTTCACCCCATACACAATATTCCATTTTAGTTGGAGGTACATAAACATGCTAAAAAAAGGTTTCAGCAAATTTCAATTCACACCGACTTAACACCAAAACCTACCAGAGTACTGTTGACCGCCTCCATCATTTATGACCAACTTACAAAATATTGTGCATGTGCATTTCCATTTCATGCCTACTTTACACATATTTAGCATGGAGCACACAAGACAAGTCTAATTATAGGTACGATAGTTCCAGACAAATACGCTTTGTGGAAAAAACAACTCCAACAGAGAGAGACAGATTGAAATATAATACTTCAACCAGACAAACCGGCACAATAAGACAGACGGTGACTCAATCACACTGCGGGAGACAAACAACTCCACTTCAGCGTCAAAAAAGCTCATCCGAGTTTCCAAGCTTTTAGCGGCGCACAAAACTTTCTGGTTGCTGTAATAAAGACCAGAAAATACAGCTAGGGAAAAAAAAAACATGTGATCTGAGCTCTGTGGATCACCACCAGTGCTTCCTTTGCTTCAAACAGCATGATTACAGGGTGGTGGGGGTCTATGGGATGGAGAAGTCTTTCGCATTTCCTGTTTAAAGCAAGGAGGTTCACACAAAAAAATCTACATGAAAACCCACAGCTGCAAACCAACCCATAAACTGACTTTTTACAACAGTAATTCTCAAACCTGATCAGTGACAAGTCAATTTTGTAAATGTAAAAAGTACTGTACATTTTGGATTGCATATCTACTGTGTTTGTAAAATAAGATTGGGTGCGGCCATCTGCAACTGAGGAATCTGGTGTCATTTGTATCTAGTTATTTACCAGTGTAAAAAGGTTTTATTAACATTATTGTTAATAACAAACTAAATTTGTTGCTCACATGCTGTGAAGTTATTTCCCTTAAATAGAACCATGAATTGACCATTTTGCTTCCCCAATGAACAGTGAGGTTTTTTTTTTTTTTTTTTTTACAAAAAAAAAAAAAAACAACAATGCCATAATTTTCAACATTTGTCTCCGAAAGTCCAGGAGATGATTTATGTGGCGGGGCTATTCTGAATAACTAAGTTGAGAACCAGGGGGTGTCTGTGTTGTTGTTAACTGTACCGTGGACCAACTTTCAGGGCAGGAGGTAATGGTGATTGGATACTAAAGACTGATTTATACTTCTGCGTCAAGCGCAAGCCTTACATGTAGTCGTACAATCAAACTTCTGTTTGAGGTTTGTGTTGCTCTGCAATAACACTTTTGTACCGCTAGCTGGCAGTAGAATTTTATGTTCCTCTGTGTCGAGTTTCTATAGGGTTGTTTTGTTTTTCCTGAACGCTACAAGCAGGAACTGCCGAATGTGCAGCAACTTTAAATATAAGGTAAACAAAAATCAAAAGTCTCCATCTGGAGCTCCTTCACGGAACTCGACACTTGTAAACAATTGCTCCATCAGGCTTGCAGCTCTCAGCAAGACCCATGCTTGTCATTGCTACCAAGCCAACCTATCACAGAGCTTGCGCTGGCGTCAGCCACGGTGAGGGCTATGCAACCGCGCGAAGGCTGTGCCAAACATATGCGTGCACTTGACGCAGAAATATAAATCAGCCTTAAGTTGACAACTGGGGAGGGAGGATGTTGAAGACTATGCCAAAAAGTTGAAGACTTTTTCCAGGTAATAACAAATTGATAGGACGGTGGGAAATGGGTGTGAAACTCCAGGGAAAAAGGAGACTGTTGGCAGGTATGCATTGTGAACAATATAAAAATCAAAACAATTGTTTTTTTATGATTATTAAAAAAAGAACTGTTTATGGAATGGGACCATTCCATTTATGTTAAAAGTTTGTGATGGAGCCATCAATTCTAATTAAGAAGCTTTACTTTCAGGAATGTGATGAAATAGATGCCTTAATCAATTATAAAGGAATAAAAAAACATAAGCGCATAAGACGTTGTTTGAAATAGAGCTGGGCCGATAAACGATATTATATCGAATCATGATAAAGTTAATTTCAATAACAATGATAAGCTCTGGAGTCCGGACTTTTTTTACTCTATATTGATCTAAGAGACGATCACACAGCAAAAATGTGCAACAATGGGAATCTAGAAGTCTGTTGATATAAAGATGCACTGATTTTTCATCCACCGAAAATTTACCAGCCAAAAAAATGTTACGCCATTTAATGAACCCTCTAATATTTGTGGCTTCCGTCATTGTTGGGGTACTCCTTTAAATCTGGAAGCATTAACAACTTATATTGAAATATATATATTGTTCAAAATGGAAAATAATTATCGAGATTGTGTTTTTGCCATATCGCCCCTCCCATAACTTTCATTCATTTTCAAAACAAAAGTACTTTCATTAATTAAATCTGAAAAGTTTCCGTAGTTCAGCTTAAACTTTGATGACTCAAAAAGTAAAAGTGCTCAAAATTTTATATAAATCTAGATTCAAATATCTCTGGTTAATATTTTATCTCCGGTTACGTCCAAAAAAAAAATAAACAAAAAAGTCTTAAATGTTTAAAAGCACATGAATGTGAGGAACTGACCTACATCTTGAGCTCACAAGCAGAGGCTCCAGGAGCTGAGCTGGGTGTGTCATCATCCACAATATGTAACGACAAGATTAAGAACTATATCTTTGCAAAGTATTGATGAGAACTTTGACCCCTCCCTCTACTTTCAGTCTACTAACATTACATGATGAATATCGTGTATTGATTACACATGCTCTAATGTGCCATTACTGTACTTAAAGGGCACACAGTAATGTTTTTTCATCCACCCACTGAGTGCACTTAAGTCCATAATGTGTTTGTACAGAAGCACACCTTTCACACCAGCTTTCCTGCAGACTTTGTGTGATGTGTGGAGCACTTTTGTTGGTCTCGGGGGTGGATGAATTGTGATGGGTGGTTTGAAAAGGGGTATAGACTTGTGTACTATTGTATAAATGTTAATTAGGGATATAAGGGAGCACAATTAGTTTCCGGAGTTCTACGGGAAAAGGGAAGCTAAACAATAGGGAATCACGACAGCTGTCTCAAATCCAAACGATCCTGCAATTTGTGGAATTACAAGGCGTAATGTTTTTCTTGCTTATATTTCATCGAGTAGCTCATTATTTTGAAAAACAACCCGGGGAGGATAAGATATGGCTGCAGTGCAAGTCTATTGTTGTATTGTTATGATGGAAGATGTCCGGCTAGCTCATGACAGGCTCAAGATGAGCGTCTGTCAACAACACAGTCTGAGTTTAACGTTACGTGCCTGATCCACTTTTAAATGTCACACATTCACATTTAGGGGTTCAAACTCAAGCGTTCACAGAAAATAAATCCATCTTACCGTGGCGCTCTGCGATTTTCCTCTTTATTCCCCGTGAATAAACAGTTATCCGGCTTCCTCCGCAAGTAAACCGTGGCGTTTGCTGTTTTATTTTGCCCGTTGCGACGTTTCAAATCAACACACGGCCCATATTCCTACTAACGTCCGCCTTCGAGCGTGCAGAAGAGTACAATTCGATAAGTATCAATATCCTAAAAGTCTTTGGAGTGTATGAAGTCTTTATCTCTCACTCTCGCTAACGGTCCGTTAGCCAGCTAGCCGACGGTTTCCTTTCTGAATTCGGGCCGGGGCTGGTGTACCTGCTCGCCCGCTCCCGCGCCTATCATATTGCACACTTACATCCGCACTTTTGATTGAACGTGTGATTTTAAGACTAATTTTATCCCGTGTTTCTGATTGTCTTTCTGTCTAACCCCCTTTTTTGTCCAGGAAACGCAAAATGGCTACGTGGGGCGGGAGCCAACCGGAAAAAGGGTCAAAATGATGTGCCGTGTGTTTCCGTTAGAGAGTGGCGCTGGGAATATGCCATGTTGATAAGGGCAAATGCTGGTTTGATGATTTGCCCTAGTTGCATTTAAACTCGGTTCAATTTCTACTTTTTGTTTGGTTAATAATTGTCTTACGTTAAGGTATAGGCCATTAGCTATTGTATTTATTAGTGTTCAATGCATTAAATATAGGATCCAAAAGCATATTTTGCAAGGGCAAAATAAGTAATAAAAAAAATGGTTATATTGGTGTATAGTTGAGCCATATACATGTATCATGATGTAATCGATGAATAATAACCACTGAACAAAAAAAAGTGCAATCGCTATTTTATTGCCTTCTATGATTCAGTAAAAAAAAAAAAAAAACTTAAGTCAACTTAATTTATTTCTAGAGCACCTTCAACCAACCACAATGGGTACCAAAGTGCTGTACACAAAAACACATAATACATGCAAACATACAAGGATCCAAAGTACATAAAGTCACAACACATGATTAAAGCTAAAGAAAACAAGTGTGTTTTCAGTGACATGTTGGACATTTTTAACATCTTAAGAACAGTTGGACATGTTCTTAAGGAGATCGTTCCAGAGTCTTGGAGCAGCTTCTGAAAAATCTCTATAAACCTCGACATTTCAAGTAAGATCATGGAACTGTCAAATAGAGACGATCCTCAGAGCGAAGAGATCTCACTGGTTGGTGTTAATTAGCCCAGAAATATACTCGGGAGCCAGGCCATGAAGAGATTTAAAAGCAGCATTTTGTAGTGAATTCCAGACTGGATTAGCCAGTACAGGTGTCTCTTTTTTGTGCCTGTTAAAAGCCTGGCTGCTGAGTTCTGGACCAGCTGAAGATGAGAGACATAGGCCTGACTCACACCCAAATACAATGAGTTGCAATAATCCAGATGAGAGGAGATGAAGGCATAAACAACCTTCTCCAAGTTACTGAAAGAGAAGACAGATTTCCGCTTGGCAATATATCTAAGATAGAAAAAAAAAAAAGCTATTTTTGACAACACCATTAATTTGGCGATCAAATTTAAACTCAGAGTCAAAACTAACGGCAAGACTTTTTACAGAGGAATGTATTTTTCCAGGAAGCAAAGACAGATTGGCTTTAAAATCCAAACCTTTTGGAATAAAAAACAATACATTCACACTTGTCCTCATTTAATTTCTGCCATGCTTTCCTTATTCTATAATAATAACTTGTCGAAGTGAAGATAATCATTTTCAAGTCATGAGAACTAACAGTTGAAGGCTGAAAATTAAAATCTTTTACATGTGTAAGCTTGCTGGTTTCCCCTCACTCACACAACAGGTTATACCCGACCAATTTATGGCCCATGGTATCTGTAATGGGGGATATTATTTCATAAAGCAAAAAAACAAAGATCTTTTCAAAACAGGCTGATCATGGATTTACAGAATAAGCAAAAAATATTCCATACAAACATAAACAAGACAGCGGCATCTATGACTTCAAACTGGCATGGTTGTCATTTCATTTTACAGTCCAGTGGTGTTTACTCCAGACATCGCTATTCATGATGCAGGAAATCAACCGTATAAAAACACCTTACAATCATTTAATGAAGTGAAAGGGATAGTTCACTCAAAAAAAGCTTCATTACCTCATGTGGTTTTAAAACTGTTGAACATAAAAGAAGATATTTGAAGAATGATGGTTTCTGGCACCCATTGACTTCAGTAGAAAATATATGACTATGGATGTCTATGAGCACCAGCAACCATATTCAAAACACTTCAATGGAAGAAAGAAACTCAAACAGGTTTTGAACAAGTGAAGGGTGAGTGAATGATCATATCGCTCAACTTGCCCTTAAAATGATAACTAATGTTTGCCAGTGCTTCTTATCAATCATCTAGATTTTGGTAAGAGGAAGCTCATATGTACTTTCGATAAATCTCATGTCGTGTGTTGTTGATTGAGTCGTGCTTCTATATCTCATATAAGAGATCATCTGCATGGGGCTCGAGGGAAGGCTTTATTTTGACAGAAACATTGCTGTCTGCATTATAATTAAACTGGTTCAACTAGAACCATTCCTGGAATAAATGCAGTCATTATCAATGCAAATGCTATGAAAAAAATACTCTGTTTGAAATAATTGTAACACAAGTATTCCTGCCAACAGGTATTTTTTGACTTACTGTTATACAAGTATCTGCTCAATGATAAACAAACAAACAAACAAACAAACAAACAAACTAACTAACTAACTAACTAACTAACTAACTAACTAACTAACTAACTAACTAACTAACTAACTAACTAACAATAAATAAACAAATGATATAATTCATTCATTCATTTTCTTCTTGGCTTAGTCCCTTTATTCATCAGGGGTCAACATAGCGGAATGAACCGTCAACTTATCCAGCACATGTATTACGCAGCGGATGCCCTTCCAGCTGCAACCCATCACTGGGAAACACCCATACACTCTCATTTACACACATACACTACGGCGCATGTCTGTGTGAGAAAAACGGAGCACCTGGAGGAAACCCACACAAACAGGGGGAGAATGAGCGCACTCCAAACAGAAATGTCAACTGACCCAGCCGGGCCTCGAACCAGTAACCTTCTTGTTGTGAGGCAACAGCGCTACCCACTGCGCTGCTCTAAATGATATAATGATAACTTAAATAAAATAATAATAATATTAAGCAAATTTCAAACAGTTTTCAACATTGTCAGTGTAGACTGTAAGCAATTAGTAACAACTTAAAAAAGGAGTAGACCAGTAAACAAATGATGTGCAAAATTATAAAAATTAAGTCAACTTAATAGTTCTAAGCAGGGTTGTTGCAGGTTTTAAATTAAAGATTTTTTAAGACCCTTTTAGGAATGTAATTTCAGACTTAGGGACAAACACTAAGGATTTGTTTTCTAATGGACCAGTATTATCATAAGGAATCATATAATTGTTTTTAGTTTTCTTTCCCTAAAGGAATTTAATATATAAGGAATTGTAAAATGTAAAAATGCTGTTAAAATGTCTAAGAGCTGTTGTGAATTGTATCTTTTTGCAAAAAACATATATATATATATATATATATATAGATTTGAAGTTAGAATGATTAGCCCGACTTTGATTTTTTTCTTCTTTTAAATGTTGTTTAACAGTGAGGAAATGTTCACAGTATGTCTGATAATATTGTGTCTTCTAGAGAAAGTCATTTATTTTATTTTGGGTAGAATAAAAGCAGTTTTTAATTGTTTTAAAAATCATTTTAAGGTCAAAATTTATAGCCCCTTTAGGCTCTATTTTTTTCCCCGATAGTCTACAGAACAAACCATCGTTATACAATAACTTTTACCCTAACCTGCCTAGTTAACCTAATTAACCTAGTTAGGCCTTTACATGTCACTTTAAGCTGTATAGAAGTGTCTTGAAAAATATCTGGTCAAATATTATTCACTGTCATACTGACAAAGGTCAAATAAATCCGTTATAAGAGATGAGTTATTAAAATTATTATGATAAGAAAAGTGCTGATAAAATCCTCTCTCCGTTAAACAGAAATTGGGGAAAAAATAAACAGGGGGGCTAATAGTTCAGGGGTGATAATAAATACAACACAATTTTTAAATTAATTTAATAGTTTTTAAGGCTTAAAATGTAGTTTTTGAAATGTAAGACTTTTTAAGACCCAGTAGACACCCTGTCCAAGTTACAACAATTTTATTCACATTTCAATTTAAGGCAACAAGTTTACTCACTTTTTATAAGGAAAATGTAACCGATTTCCCATGTGTTGGATTGCCGCTGGAAGGGCATCCACTGTGTAAAACATATGCTGGATAAGTTGGCGGTTCATTCCATTCATTCAATGAATTAATATATAAATGTAGTATAATATACCTAAATATACCAAAACTTCAGTATTGGGTAAATGGCTTACACCAATAAGTATTGTATTAAAACTGCAACTACAGAATTGCCACAACAAATAAATGTAAATGCTAAAAACAAATTAATAGATAGATGCGTTTTATTAATGTGTGGTTTAAAAACGCTACAGCATTTATTACAAAGTACTAAAGAATTTTTTCATGTTTAATAAAGGGACTAAGCCAAAAAGAAAATGAATAATTGAATGAAAATGATAACTTTTTACAGTCTGAGAAATGTTTGAGATGTCAGAATGATTTTTGATCAACTTTGTGACACTAAACACTCTAATGATGCTGACAATCCAGAAAAAAAAAAGTTTTTGTTTTTTATTAAGTGTTCGTGATTACTGAAAAATAACAATAGTATAGCACAGATATATTTCTTGTGTTTGACACCAGCACAGACATCCTTTAAATGAATTTAATAAAAAGAAGAATTATCAGAATCACTCCTTGCGTCTCTTTATTGTTCCATTTCATATGTAAAGTATAAGAGACACAAGGCAGAGAAACAGGTTTACCATAAAAGAAACTCACCCTGGAGGACTTTCTTTTTGTATGTAAGACAAGTTATAAGTCTAACCCCACTATTATATCTTGGCACTAAATTAGAAACCATATCATAAAAATGGTGCACATGAAAGAATGTAATGTGTTAACAGGTTGAGAAGGGACCTTGAACTGATTGTGTTCAATAAGTAATCCTTCGCATAATTACCTGTAAAGGTGACCGGGGTGTGTATTGTAAATACTGACGAAATAAAGCATCTAAAAAAATAAAAAGCTGAGTCAGAGTCTGATGGAGGTTGGGGGGGGTCAAAACTTGATGAATGCCACACTACCTGCTTTACATCTCATTAGCCACGGCAGGGGAGAGCAAACAGCAGTGTTGAGCCAGACCAGAGTACAAATATGAAGATGAACACAGCTTTGACTGTTGTTGGAGCATTATTAGTCAACATTGCAGGTAAGATCTTGGGACATTTTATGTTGTTTAAAATGCTTTAATAATGTCTTAACAGTTGAGTTATTGTTGCTAAGGAACTTTGTAACTCGTGTTGCCTGAAAGGGCTGTTAACACAAACATTGCCTTCATAGGAATACTTTTACAAATGTAGTATATATTAGTTACTTATAAGTTCCAATAGTTAACAGTTAATGCATTACATATTATTTACAATGAGCAATATATGCTATTTTTAATGAATGTATTTATTTTTAGTAATGTTAGTTACTAAACATACAGCTATCCATTACTTTAGCTCAATTTCATTCAGTAACATGTACTAAAATACACTATTAAAATCAAAAGATTTATTAAAATAGTTAAACAATTCTTGATTTGACATGTTTGCTACTGTAGCCAACTCATTAATTTTATTATTAAGTGTTACAGATGTATTTCCTCTCGCTCTCAATCTCAGTATATTTGTATGTTTACTTTTTCTTAATGGATAGGTTTATTGCATATGCTCGAATACTATTTAAAAAGCATCTCAGGTTTTACTTTGGACGAGTGGGAACTGAAATCAGCACAAAAGATGGCGACTTAATAAATTAAGTCTAAATTAAAATAATAATAAAAATAAACACTGTGATACGTCATAACATTCTTTATTATTAATTTTACTATTGTACATATAATAAAAATAATGTTTTGCCATTTTAAATAAACATAAGTTAGACTTAGCTACAAGTGGTCAACATAATTTTTTAATATGCTCTCAAATAAAGATTTTAAAGGATTTTCAAAACAGACAAACATTATTTGGCTATCCAAATAAACTTTCAGTGAACAAGACCCCTTTTTCTTAACATGAAAACATTTTAATAATATAGAAAACTTATTTTTGTGTGTGTGTGTGATGGAAAAAATACATGGATGTTAAAATAAAGAATGATGTTTCTAATGTAGATGAGAGACTAAAGAGTCCAAGATTTAACTGCAAAGTGTTTTTTTTTCCAACACGTCACATTGACACTTAATATATGTTAACCATTGTTTTCCCATAGCAGACAATTTTAAAAGTGTCTGTAAGACCTGTTTCACACAAGCTGCACACACAAGCAGTAGTGTCTGTTTGTTTAAAATCTCATATTACACATACACTCTAAAACCATGGCTCAAAAATGTGATGTTCATTCAGAGACACCATTTTTCAGAACCTTTCCATCTTCGGTCTTGCCTCTTATTTTGATAATAGGGCAACAGGAAAACATATTTATGAATATTCAAAGGTCTTCCTGGAACCATCAATGTCAATAAAGAACCTTTATGTTCGTGAACAGTATTTACAGTACACTCTCTCAGAAATAAAGGAACAAAAGCTGTCACTGGGATGGTACCTTTTCAAAAGGTACACTTTTTTTTGTGCTTCAAATCCATATAGACACTTTAAAGTGATACATGTTAGTGTATCTGAAGTATTCATAATGTACCCTAAAGTTACATGTACAAAAATGTACCTTTTAAAAGGGTTACCGCCTCAGTGACAGCTTTTGTACATTTAATTCTGAAAGTGCATTCACATAAGCAGCACAGTAAAATAAAGTTGTTGAGTAGAGTTTCGGTGCTAAACAACAGGTTAAATAAAAGATCATAAACCAATTTTTATAGCAAAGGCTTTTTATGAAGCAGAATAAAATACTTGAGCAGACTAACCTGACCTATACTATGTGAAAACAGAGCAAACATGAGGTTTAGACATCCAGTGAATGTATGTTTGATTACACAAACTAAAAGTGAACAATGATAACCAAGATTGAAATATATCTCAATGTCCAACTAATGATAATCTAGTTTTATAATTTATAGATATCAAGAAACAAATTCCCAATGCTGTAATGCAGTAATTTGTCTAGTGTCTGTTTAAAGAAACAGACATCCTGAAAGTACATAAACCTGCTGCTCAAACATTTTTTGCTTTTAAAAAGGTGTCTAATAGATGTCTAATAGGCGTCTAAACATATTCGCCTTGGAATAAACTAGGCTACATTTGGGCTATCAGTGAAAATAAGTCTAAGAATAGGCCAATCAATTAAACAGAAATGAATGACTACACATATAAAGTCTGTCTTATCTGTCTATTTGACGACTAGTCTAGTTTTGGGCTATTCTTAGATGTCTATTAGATTTTCTGACATATCAAGTTTAGCCTTGTTTAAGCCAAGCTGTCTTCGTTTAGATGTCTAATAGAAAATTAGATGTTCTGTTCAACACAAAATTGCTTGGTGAGTGCTGTTAGTTACGTAACTGCTTAAGATGGTGTGAAACGTCTAATTTAATCAACAGGACTAACAGGTTGACTTACTAATTCATGACAAACAAGTTGCTTAACATCATGATTCCCAATCACTGTGATTTAAAGAAAATCTTTCCTCGTGCAAAAGATTTGTGCTATAGCACCTTCGTAAAAGGTGAAACTGTGAGGTTTCAGGTTACACAAACAGACTCTGCATCATTTAATTGTTAATTCTTTGTTTTATAGGTTCACTCTGTCAGTTAAATGGTAAGTTATCCTACTATTAATCTGCATATCTTTTGTGTTTAAATGTTTTTTTAATGGGCTTTCCCATATTCTTTTTGCTCTCCTCAGTCTGTGGTCGGGCCCCTCTTAACACTAAAATTGTAGGAGGACAGAATGCAGGAGCGGGATCTTGGCCGTGGCAAGTCAGCCTTCAGAGTCCCACCTATGGAGGCCATTTCTGTGGCGGGAGTCTAATCAATAAAGACTGGGTTCTGTCTGCAGCTCACTGCTTCCAGGAGTAAGCTGAAAATGTAGTCATATTACACTGTAAAAAATGCAGGCTTTCACACAATTTCATTGTTAACTTAACCTAATCGTTCTTGCAACTGTAAGTGGATTGAACATAAAACAATTGAGTTGCCTAAGCATTGTGATATTTAAACTCATTTTCAAAAAGCAGACATCCTTTTTTGAATGTGCAGGAAACAGGAAAATAAGTCATATGCAAATTAGGCAAGTAAGTCTTGTAGCAAGCGTAGCAAGAAAACTGCATTTTTCAGTTCAATGCGGTGATGTCCCAGGCCAATGAACATTTCCTGCTTGTTGCCAAACTATTTCGAAACTGGCAATTTAATCATATCCTAATGTTGAGATGGCTGCCAAAACCTTATTTATCAAAATGTGGACCTTTTTTGGATTATAAAGCTATGAAGATTAAAAAAGTTATAGAGGAAATACATTGAGATAATTGTTATTGTTTGCTTACCTGGATGGATTCAATTCACTGCCAACAAACCACATAACTTTAACACACTAGTCTCACAGCCAGACCTTCAGACCGAGAGAAAAATGTCTGGACTCCAGTGGTTCACTGTAAAACCCAAAAAGTTAAGGTAACTCAAACCATTTGAGGAAACTGATTTCAACAAACCATTTGAGTTAAAAAAAAAATGAATACTGTGAACTTACTCCATTTAAGTTGAAGTAATGAAGTATTTAATTAACTCATTACCTTCAACACTGAGTTCAGAACTCTTTTCAAATAAGTACAATTAACTTTCAGTCAATTTTGAGTGAACTACACTCATTTCATTTGATGAAGTTGACTGTTGGGTTTTACAGTGTGTCTAATTGACTAGTAAAGAAACCAATCACAGTTTGTTTTGCTTAGCATCATATTTAGTGGCATGAACATGTATGCCGTTATGCTAACAGGACATGCCACAGAACTGTAAAAGCATGTTATCTGGTTAACAGTAAGTTAAGTTTACTTATACAACAAATTACCTTAAATTGGTGGGATGGTGGCTCAGTGGTTAGCACTGTCGCCTTACAGCAATAAGGTCACTGGTTCGAGTCCCAGGCCAGTTGGCATTTCTATTTGGACTTTACATGTTCTCATCGTGTTCACTTGCGTTTCCTCTGGGTGCTCCAGTTTCCCCCACAGCCCAAAGACATGCAGTACAGGTGAATTAAATAAACTAAATTTAAAGTTGTTTTCCAGCACTGGGTTGCAGATGGAAGTACATCCGCTGCATAAAAATATATGCTGGAGTAACAGACAGATTGGATTTTGAGCTGATGTAGATTTGGGTATCATCAGCATAAAAGTAGTATAAAGTCAATGGGTAGCATGTTTGCCAGAACATTAGGTCCTACCTCACTCAACCAGATGCTGAAAGACTTATTCATGCATTTGTCACTTCCAGGATTGACTATTGTATTGCACTCTTTGTTGGTTTACCTGCTAAATTAATCAAACGGTTACAGTACATTCAAAATTCAGCAGCTCGCATTCTCACACACACTCCACCTCGGCAGCACATTACTGGTGTGCTTTATAGCTTGCATTGGCTCCCAGTTCAGTCCCGTATCATTTTTAAAACACTCACTCTTGCATATAAAGCTCTACATGGTACAGCTCCTTCCTATATCAGTGACATTGTCTCTCAGTATACACCTTCTCGTCTCCCTTACTCTGTAAGAAATGCTCCCACACTAGCTAGTTTTAAGAAGATGCTAAAAACTCATCTTTTTAGGACTGCATTTTTAGATTCTTGATTATTCTGTGTTTATATTTTATAACTTTACATTTACTGCATGCTTGATTTCTCTGTATGTTGTAGCGCTTTGGGTTTTAGAAAAGCACATTATAAATAAAATTTATTATTATTATTATTATTATTATTTATTAAATGAGAGTAGTTAACTTAAAATATACTGAAGGTTAATTCTACTCATTTGAAAAGAGTTCTGAACTCAGTGTTGAAGGTAGTTATTTAATTACCTCATCACTTCAACTTAAAGGACGTAAGTTCACAGTACTCATATAGATTAGTTTTTTTTAACTCAAATGGTTTGAAGCAATCGGGTTCCTCAAACTGTTTGAGTTGCCTTAACTTATTGGGTTTTATAGTACTCAGAGTTCTCTTCATTTATTAGATTTTACTGTGCTCAAATTGCTTCACTTACTCAAATGGATTAAGTTCACAGTTTAACTTACCTTAACTTTTAAGGGTTTTACAGTCCAATATAAACATACATTTGACCATTTTATAACGGTCCATATCATTGTGAGGACAATATTGTTCCAATCAGTCTATGAGAGAGGAAAAAAAAAAAGTCGGAAACCCTCAGATTTACAGCACAGATAGACATCGTAAGTATTCAAAAGACACTTTCCTTGAAAAATAGCTGTTTGTTTCAACATACAGCCTAAAAGTAAAGTCAAATTTCTGCACAGTCTGTATAATTTGGCCTACAGTAACCTCTGAACATAGCAAATCAGATTATACTGTAGCTCAGAATACACTAAATACCCCTCAAAACACTGAAAACTAATAGGCGAGGCAGTGGCGCAGTAGGTAGTGCTGTCGCCTCACAGCAAGAAAGTCGCTGGTTCGAACCTTGGCTCAGTTGGCGTTTCTGTGTGGAGTTTGCATGTTCTCCCTGCCTTCGCGTGGGTTTCCTCCAGGTGCTCTGGTTTCCCCCACAGTCCAAAGACATGCGGTACAGGTGAATTGGGTAGGCTAAATTGTCCATAGTGTATGAGTGTGTGTGTGAATGTGTGTGTTGATGTTTCCCATAGATAAGTTGCGGCTGGAAGGGCATCCGCTGTGTAAAAACTTGCTGGATAAGTTGGCGGTGCATTCCGCTGTGGTGACCCCGGATTAATAAAGGGACTAAGCCGACAAGAAAATTAATGACACTGAAAACTAAATACATTTTAATAGTAAACTAGATACATCAAAATAAATAGATACACTTGATTAATTAAAGCATGTTTTACACAAACTAACATTACCAAAAAAGTTGACCCCCCTCTGATGCCACCCTTCTGGCATCACGGCAGCTTTGTTTCCAGCCTGAGACAGAAATATTGTACAATTCATCCAATAAAATGTAGACGTTGATGTTTATCATCTAAGCCTGTGACTATTTAGATACCACATAAAGCAAGTCAAAGGTGGCAAAGAACCCATAAAATGGATTAAATAGTATTAAAGACAGTAGCTCATAATAATTAATATTTGCTTCTTTTATTTGCAGCTCCTTAGGTACAGTTAAGGTCAAACTGGGACTACAGAGCCAGTCAGGCTCAAACCCTTATCAGATAACCAAGACAGTAGTTCAAGTCATCAATCATCCTAACTATAACAACCCTAGCAATGACAATGACATAGCACTGGTCAAGCTTGATTCATCTGTGACTTTCAATGATTACATTGAGCCAGTGTGTCTGGCTGCTGCTGGAAATACCTATGCTGCTGGTACACTGAGCTGGGTCACTGGATGGGGGAAACTCAGTTCTGCAGGTGAGTGAAAATGTGCCAGCAAATACCACAGAGTTGAATACTTTACAGTAAATAATCATTAAAACATCCCTGCCGATGTGCATCACAGCCAACCAGATTCCTGACATACTGCAGGAGGTGGAGATCCCGATTGTGAGCAACAGTGACTGTAAACGTGCGTATCCAGGCGAGATCACAAGCAATATGATTTGTGCTGGATTGTTAGATCAGGGAGGAAAAGATTCATGTCAGGTAAGATTTTAACTAATTTAAGTGTTCAGAGTCAAAATTTCAGAGTATAAGTGGGTATATTTTGACTTTAAGTCACTCTATATGCACATCGATAGTGATATTTAACTGCTGACTGACTTGAACATGTTAAAGTAAAAGTGAATGTATCTATATACACACACACACACACACACACACACACACACACACACACACACACACACACACACACACACACACACACACACACACACACACACACACACACACACACACACACACACACACACACACACACACACACACACACACACACACACACACACACACTGTATGTATATACTGCATATATACATATAGTCAGAATTTGAACTATTAGCCCCCTGTTTATTTTTTCCCCAATTTCTGTTTAACAGAGAGAAGATTTTTTCAACACATTTCTAGACATAATAGTTTTAATAACTCTTTTCTAGTAAATGATTTATTTTATCTTTGCCATGATGACAGTACATCATATTTGACGATATTTTTCAAGACACTTCTATACAACTTAAAGTGACATTTAGAGGCTTAGCTAGGTTAATTAGATTAACTAGGTAGGTTATGGTAATTAGGCAAGTTATTGTATAATGATGGTTTGTTCTGTAGACTATAGAAAAAAAATAGCTTAAAGGAGCTAATAATTTTGAACTAATTTTACAAAAAATTAAAAACTGCTTTTATCCTAGCCGAAATAACACAAATAAGACATTCTCCAGAAGAAAAAGTATTATCAGACATACTGTGAAAATTTCCTTGCACTGTTAAACATCATTTGGGAAATATATATATATAAAAAAAAAAAAAAAAAAAACACAATTCAAAGGGGGGCTAATATTTATGACTTCAACTGTATATACGAAGAGTTCAGACGCAAAAACCTCTAAGTGGCGTCTGAAATTTCCAATGGAAATTTCATTTTAAAGATCTTTAACAAAGTGTATTCTTTGCCATAAACTTGAATTTACTGAACCTACAGACATGGAGCCTGATAAAAATGCTCAATTTTGAAGAAAATTTTAAACGGCTTTTAGAGGTTTTTGCATTTTGCATCTGAACTCTTCACACCCCCCTCCCCCCACCCCATTTGTTGTAGTTTTACAAAAGAGAAAGATATTGAAAAGAGCAAGTGCCAGTTAAGTCACTAAAGGATCCCAATTTGCTTTCTGGTGTTCTTGCACTATCTGGTAAACTTTTGGTTAAACAAAGATTGGGATAGAGTAATAATAATAGGTATTATGCCTATTAAACTGCTATTTGTTGCTAATAAACGTTGTCAATATTGTTGTGCATATTAATTTGATATTGTTTCAGTATTACTGTTTGATATTTCGTTTATGAAGGGTTTAGACACAAGGCAACAGTTTGATGACGTTGTCTGAGCCTTACATCATAATTTTTTATTATTCACAGTAATACCGTATACCAAGGTAAAATAGGGAGGAGGTTTGACAGTATGAAAATTTGGATACTGCCCAAGCATACTGTCATCTTTTTTTTTTTTTTGGTCAGTTAATTGTATGTTTTCAGACATATAACTGTTGGTTCTTTATCAATGCAGGGAGACTCTGGGGGTCCAATGGTCAGTAGGAATGGCTCCCAGTGGATTCAGTCTGGCATTGTGAGTTTCGGTCGAGGATGTGCTGAGCCCGGTTATCCTGGTGTTTACGCCAGAGTGTCGCAATACCAGGACTGGATTACTAGTTCCACAGGCAGCAGCAATCCACCTGGATTTGTTGAATTCCATTCCAGTGGATTCAGAAGCACATCTAACCTGTTTTTATTGTCCATTTCTCTCACATTATCCATCATTCCTTTCGCCTCTGTTCTCTCTTCATAAAAAAGTGTGTTAATAATGGCCATAATTGTTCTTTTACACAAATGTACTGTAAGAAAGCAAGAATATATTATAGTGCAATTATTTATTCTACCTTATTAAAATACACTATTTTTGGGAAGCATTTTCATAGAGTCAATCCACATGGACACTAATTAAGTTTATCATACTTGAGCTCTCAAAATAATGGTGCATTTGATGACGTTTGAAATAATAATGCATCATTGTCTTTACTGTGATCTCGGAACTAAAATCTATTGAACCTACTGAATGTATATTGTCTGGTTGTTTTTACCAATGTACTGCAGTCACTTTTTAATGTTTTTAATTATTTACAATGTTGCATTCTCAGGGTCTGAATGTCTGTAATTAATGCAATGTGAATATATAATAAATGACCAACTATGCTGTAGTCTAGTAGTGTACACAGAATAAACACAGAAAAAAAAAACACTGACCCCGTTTTTGTCCATATCATCAAACAATCCATTTGCACTACGTGATTTCTCATTATTGTAATTTTATATCTCACGCTGTGACTCAAGTCTTTTACTTCATTCAATCAGTCATTATACAACAGTAGTCACCCACATTGCAAAATTTATTTGGCCCAGCACTGGCCCACACAATCAGCGTTTGCTTGGCCCACATGTCGCAGTGAATTATGGTTCATGATTGGACTAAGTCTGGCTTCCATATAAGGGCCAAACATGGACCATATCTGGGTCTAGTCTCAGCCAAATTAATAACCCATAACTCGGCCTAAACTGGGCCAGCTGGACCATGTTTGGTCATTGTTTGAATGTATATTTGGTGTGTCACGACTGCAATGAAATTGATAAACCCAGGAAGCACTGCACTTTAGGCACGTTAATAATGGTAATGGTTAGTAATAGATAATAAAATAATTTGTAAAATAATAATTTGGTTAATAAATGATATGTAATGTAGGTTAAACTCAGTTATTTTTACAACAAACAGGAAACAATAAATTAATAAATCTTGACTGTTTTCTGGAATAAAATAAAGGTGTTACGGAAATGACTTGGTGCATCAAAACTTTTCTTTACTCAAAAAATGATTTTAATGTATTTTAAATGTTGGTCAAGATGGGCCAAACTTATATGACACACATATTAGTTTGTAACATCTATTCTGGTCCAAACACTACATTTGACATCTGGCCCATGTCTTGCATGCCGCCTTAATGACGGTGACACCTCTGTCAAACCAGCATGCTATATGTCAGAGCTGGATGAATGCCTGCTGGGTCAGCTTTATGCAAAATCTGGGCCAGAATTCTTTGTTACCTGGACAGAGACAGTAACCTCAATTACAATGTTTTTGCTATTGCCACATTGAAATTAACGTGGGTAGAAGGGCAGACACAGTGGCACGCACTACAGGTTGTAGATCAGTTAAGTTAAAATAATCACAACTTTAAAACTTTTATGGAGTTTTTGCCTGGCGAAGCACGAAAAAAGTCGTGTAAAAAATATATTATCAGAAAGAGAATATACATAGCTAAATATATGTTTAAGGCACGTATGCCATCTAGTGGCATCATACATACTCACCACTCACATACGGCCACCAATGGAGAAAGGAGTGCATCAATAATAATAATAATAATAATAATAATAATAATAATAATAATAATAATAATAATAATAATAAGAAGAAGAATAAGAAGAAGAATAAGAATAAGAAGAAGAAGAAGAAAAAGAAGAAGAAGGGAAGAAAAGGAAAAAATAAAAAAAATAAACTTTATTTATATATATAGGTTTTATTAGTAACATGTTAGCTATAAAGGTAGGTTTCATAGGTTTTAATAGTTATAATAAAGGAAATTTATTAGTTTTAATAAAAGCTATAATGTTCCTTTAAGTCTGGTCATTTTTTACCTTCCATTGGCTTGGTAAAACCAATAAATCTTTTTGTAGCCTAATATGTCCCAAAAACACACACAGTAAAGTTCTTTTGGTTAAATTCTAATGATTGATAGGCTAGGCTATATTTGTGTGCTTTTTTGGTGATATTTGTAGTGGAAACCATTAAGAAACCATTTTGGAAAATGTATTAAAATAACATGCATACGTGCATGTAAATTAGCACATTTAGGGCCCGAAATACTGAATAGAAGCCTTATAGAAGTATTCAAACGTATGCAAGCGTGAGAAGGGTGTGTGTACTAAAACATTTGAACTGTCATGACAGAACAGTTGTGAAAAACTTTGTGCGTGATATGCTGAATGAACAAATTTTAGTCCTGCAGGACAATGCTACACTTGTGTAAATGATTAATTTTGGCAACAGTTTATCCAAGCTATGTGATTCGTGCAAAACCTCATATACAATGAAAATAAAACATAATTTAACTGAAAAGAGCTTTGAAAAACGTGTGCACAAAATATAGATTTGTGTTCCTCAACTTCCGCCAACTCCGCGATGACGTCTTATTTTGTCGCGGGCACCGAAACCAATTTGCGGATGCGTCGACTATAAATCAGCCTTCAGAGTGACACTTTCAGTAAAGTAAACAGCAAACAATACTACACAGCAGAGACAGTAAGGATGAAAGTCCGTCAATTTGTATATGTCGGAGAGTTTTTACTTCTCAATATAGCAGGTAAGATATAAACATGTACAATTCGACAACTGCTTAATTAACAATATCAGTCGCAACTTATCCCAGATAACAAATTACATCTGGCCCACATATGGCCCACATCCCCCATTTTCTTCTGGCCCACATACCGCGCGGAATGACGGCGATGACTCAACCTGATTGTGGCTGACATAAGGATCCAAAAGTCAGCCACAACTGAACCAGATCTGGGCCATATCTCAGAAAAAGCATGGTCCATATCTGGGCCAGATGTGGCCCATACATTTTCTTAGATCTGGCCCAGCTACGGCCCATGCACATTCTCAAATCTGGCCCAGCTGCGGCCCATGCACTTTCTCAGATCTGGCCCACATACAGCCCATGCAGTTTCTCAGATCTGGCCCAGATGCGGCCCATGCAATTGCACAGATCTGGCCCAGATCTGATTCAGTTGCGGCTGACTTTTGGGTTAGATGTGGCTCACATCTACATTTGGTAGCTATATAAATCACATTAAAAGGAATGCTTAGTTTAAATTGCTTTATTTAAAAAAAAATGCTTTAAAGGAAGCATATAAATTGATAAATACAAATATATAATTTATATAAATTATATAAATAGATGCATACAACAAAAACAACAACAGATTGATCAATGCAATACAAAGAAATATATGAATTAGATAAATGCATACAGAATTATCACAAATTAAATGCAAATAAATATATATAAAAGTTAAAATTAGGTAAGTGGATATACAGAATAAGAAGAACATTCAAACACAAATGTATATACAAATTAGATAAATAGATACAGAATTAACACAGAAAATATATATATTATTTTATAAAATGCATATTAATTAAATTAACAAATATTTTATAACCATATAAACAGAACCAATAATTAAAAAGATATATAAAGGGCAATCCAAAAACAAGATCAGAGGCGAGGCAAGGGTCAAATAAACAAATGATAATTACAGAAACAAGATAAACAAGTATGAGTAGACAGAACAAACACAGAAATCACATATTTAACAAAAACACATTATTTAAATAATTACAACTAAATATTTATTAGCATCTACCCAGAACCAAAAAATAAATAAATAAATAAATAAATAAAATAAACTGAAAATCCAACAGGGCAGTTAAAGAGTGAGGTCAGGGGCGAGCAAGGGTCAAAGCCAAAAAAAAAAACAGTCCAATGCAAAACATCCTGAAAATCGGAGAAGACAACAATTAAAAGGTGCTGTTTGCAGAGTACATACAGGCACAACTTGATTAAAATTAAGGACTTTTAAGCACTTTAAACACCTATTTTTATTTTTAAGACTGACAAGCAACGTATTGAACACCTGAAATGTATTTTCAGCAATACATAAAAACATCCCATAGGAACTACCTATCGATTTATAAAAAATAAAAAATAATATTAATATAATATTTCATAGTATTAAACCTATTTTAAATGTGCTAGTAAAATTGTTTTTTTTATGTATTCGTAGATGGAAAGAGAACTGAAAATTAAATTACATTAAATTAAAGGACTAGAAATACTATTATATTGCTAAAATAAAACAAATTTGAGTAAATAATACTAATACAGAGTAAAAGTACATGGTACTATTTTAGTTAGTTACATTTGGAAAAACAATCGGATTTTCATTACGGACCTTTTTTAAGTGTAAACTTGTTTAAATGGTTTAATTGTTTAATTACAAGACTACATAAAAAGGAATTTGCACTAACAAAGGAAGTTTATTTTAAGGAAATATATTTTCAAGCTTTGGAAGGTTTTACGTATATGATGAAAAGATGTAAAAATTTAAAATGTTGCCTTTTATTTACACATTTTACACGTTTTTTCTTGTTTGCTCATTCTGTGTCTGCCTTTACAATCTGGCAAATGTGTTGCTTAAATAACTTTTATAGTACTTGGATTTTTTTTTTACATAATTATAAACAAATGACTTTACAAAAAAATATATTTTAAAAATAATAAAACAAATGATTCCATTTGAGGTATTTGAAATTTTTTTTTTTTTTACATTTTCTACATTTTTCAAAGCAGTGTTTTAAGAGCCTTATTGTTTATTTTGATAAATGTAACAACAGTAGGGCTGCTCGATTTTGGGAAAAATCATAAGCATGATTATTTTGGTCATAATTGAAATCACGATTATTCAAAACGATTACTGTTGAAGTCAAAATTAGTAGCGCTCCTGAGAATTTTGAAAAAAAAAAAAATCCCAAATGATGTTTAACAGAGCAAGGAATTTTAACAGTATTTCCTCTTATATTTTTTGCTTCTGGAGAAAGGCTTTTTTATTTTTATTTTGGCTAGAATAAAAGCAGTTTTTTTCAAGCAAGTCTATAATATTAGCCCCCTTAAGCAATACATTTTTGATTGTCTGCAGAAGAAACTACTGTTATAAAATGACCTGTCTAATAACACTAATTAAGCCTTTAAATCGCACTTTGAATCTGAATGCATGTATTTTGAAAAAATATCTAGTCAAATATTATGTGCTGTCATCATGACAAAGATAAAATAGATAAGTTATTAGAAAAGAGTTATTAAAGCTATTATGTTCAGAAATCTTCTTTCCATTAAACAGAAATTGGGGGGGAAAGGGGCTACTAATATTCAGAAGGGCTAATAATTCTGACTTCAACTGTATACAAACTGTTATTTTCCACCCTGCAAAGGAAAGAGAAATAAATACAATAGAATAAAAATATAACTGACTATAAAATATAAAAAACTGTGCTTTAAGCATCTTCACTTTAAGAAACACTTTAGCTACAAAAGTCCTTCAGTCAAGAGCAGAGGCATGTTCTCCATTTGTTGTTTGATTAATAATCATAAAAACAGGCAGCAGAAGGATTATAGCGAGCTGTCTCTTTAATAGTTTCTCTTTCACGTCTATTTTGATTCTCAACTCGTTTGTTTATTACACAAATGATGCTTGATATCAATAATCACTAAACACTGCGTTTTGACACCTATTTGACCATTAAAGCGCTCACGTTAAGATGACTTTTGATGTCTGCACAGACTGTAGGAAGATCTGACACTCAAAGTTTTCTCCATCAATTCATTGTCTGAAATCTTGGTAATTAGTGAAAGTACCTTTGAACTGACCGCAGATCTTGATGTAGTCTTTCTTGATCTGGTCTTCTCCACTTTCGATCCTTCCCTGGGTTCATCTTTACAAGGAACCTGCTGAATGGAAAAAAAATACTGGACTATAAAAAAAAAACCTGGACTATAACCTGGACTCTAAAATGTTTGAAATAAAAGCTGCATAAAAGGACAAGCTTGTGGTGGAGGTTTGCTAGAAAAACCTGTGAGAGAGGATGTTGTGTGTGAGTGAGACTGAGACAGACTGTTGTATGAATGTGTGTTTTTGAGTGTATGAATGTGAGAATGCATTCACAAGAGTGTGTGTTAGTTTGAGGATTTTGCTATTTTAAATATTAGGGTCCAACAGAGTAATTTGTTTAGTTAAGTTGTTTAAAATTATTTTCATTGATTAAATACTTGCCCATATATAGATGTAAAGAATAACCAAAAGAAATAATGTATTAAAATGTCATTATATTTTATATTCAATCTGCAAATCATTTGTAGTGAAATTTGAATGACTTCCATTCAGTATATGAATAAAATAAAATTAGAATAAGAATAAAACAATAGAACTCTATAAAAAAATACTTCCTATCAAAATAAAGCAGGTGCTTTTACCTAAAGGAACTTTATTAGTATGGTTCCCTGCTTCCAGTTAGTTCAACTTCAGATACCTCCATAATCTGTACTCTGGTGCTTCATTTGGCTCTTGACTTAAGAGTAACTGGTGTCGCATTCCAGGTCCATCACAATCTGAGCTAAAAGGACAATATGACAAAAGACAAGACAAATATGAATACACATAAAATACAGAATAAAACATTTAAAGATATAGTTTACTATTCTGCCACCATTTATTCATCCTCTACTTGTTTCAAAGCAGTTTGAATCTGTTCAACACTAAAGCAGATATTTTGAAGAATGTTAGAAACCTGTAACTATTGATTAACATAGTAGGAAAAACTGGGTTTGTGTTCATTTATTTTTTTCAGCTTCATCCCTTTATTAATCTGGGGTCACCAAAGTGGAATGAACAGTCAACTTATCCAGCATGTTTTACGCAGCAAATACTCTTCCAGCTGCAACACATCACTGGCAAAAACCCATACACTCTCATTTACACACATTCACTATGGACAATTTAGCTTAACTAATTCACCTGTACCGCATGTCTTGTGGAGGAAACAGGAGCACCCGGAGGAAACCCACGCCAACACGGGGAGAACATACAAACTTCACACAGAAATGCCAACTGACCCAGCCGAGGCTGGACCCAGAAACATTTTTGCAGGGATGCAACAGAGCTATCCACTGTGCACCGCACCACCTGAGTTTATGTTCAACAGAACAAAAAAAATATTTTGAAACAAGTGGAGGATAAAATATGTCATTATTTTTGGGTGAACTATCCCTTTAAAATTCAAGTGTCAAGCATTCTTCTTAAAAACGTATGTATCACTACAGGAAAAATAAATCAAGTACCTCTTGTGAACAAGCAAAATCATTATGCCATTGTTTTCAATGGTTTTCCTTTACATTTTTCACTGTGAAATTATAACTTAAACATGCGATCCAAGGTAAATTAATCTACTTTTGACATAAAATAAAAAGTTAAGATAAAAATAAAAGTTACGTCAACAAACTCTGTTTTTCCAGCTCACCAATACTTTCAAATTTTACATTTTTCAGAAAACAATTCAATAAATTACCTTGTGGAAACATTTAGACTTTCTTTCAAATTACATTTTTTTTTAATAATAGATTTTCTAAATAAGCTATGACCTCACACAGTGATAAAATAGCAGCAATAAATCTTGTAATATTTTAATAATAAATAAAACATAAAATATATTATTTCAGTTCCCAACAACCAGTCTGACATATACAAGTTACAAAATATGTACAATATTGTACCTGGTGTGCTTGATGATGAAGTCAAACAATTAGTAATGCACTGATGTGAGAGTTGTCCTTTCCTTCAGCTTGCATCCTTGCATGATTCTTTTCTTTTCTGTAACAAATTAATACAATACAATCAATTTATAAAAATATTATTTTTACTTGCCACAAAACCATTTGTTTGGACTTGATACATATGTACAAGATTAATGGTGCAAATCAGTTTCCAGGCTGTTTTGATGTAATATAAAACCTAAGATATGGATTTTAAGCTTATTTAACACAATTGATTTTTTTTAACAAGGTTTAATATTTCCTAACACACTTAACCTTCTTTTTTAGCTAATTAATTTCCTTCATAAGTCATTTAACATCATGTTTCAACTGTGGATTTTTTTTTTCAAACGTTTTGGCTTTAAAATTTTTTTAATGCAGACCAGTCTCAACAGTGGCCAGCATGAACCACATAACTCTGCAAACTTTTGCTGAAACTTGATAAAACACACATTAACAAGCAAATCAAGATCATTAGGATTAACGTTACCAAAAAGAGACTGTTCGTTCAGTGTTTGAGCTAAAACCAGTACAAAAGCAGAACTCGGCACCAATTACAACTGTATAAAACGGACAGCATATGATTCATTCATTTAAGCTCCCGTTTCGACGCTGTTCTTCATATAACACGTCTTATTGATCATTTAATTGGGAATGACGAGCGAATAAAAGGACAAATGTAACTTTAATGAATTTGTTAAAACCCCGAGCACAATCAACTTAACGTAACAGATTACTGAACTGACGGCTGCCATCATTCTTAACCGTTTTTAGCCATATTAACCACATATAAGTAACAGTTTTATCACTATTCAAAACAGGGGCTTTTCTAACAAATAAATACATTACCTGACGACAAATATCTCACAAATATGATTTTAAAATAATAACTTACCCGATATAAAGAAGAAGATGAAATGGCGGACTTGACTTCACTTCCTCGTTTGAAAAAAATAACCGTCATTCACGAGGCTCCGCCCACTCCACCGTAATGCAAGGATGAAGCGAAACACATATTCGCCACCAGGGGGCAGTTTATGATTATGTTTTTAAATAAATAAATAAATATATATATATATATATATATATATAAAATATTATATATATTAGGGTGAGGGTAATTAGGCAAGTTATTTTATAACAATGATTTGTTCTGAAACTGTCGAAAAAATATATAGCTTAAAGGGGTTAATAGTTAATAGTGACCTTAAACACTTTTAAAAAAATTAAAAACTGCTTTTATTCTAGTCGAAGACTTTCTCCAGAAGAAAAGATATTATCAGACACACTGTGAACATGTCCTTGCTCTGTTATGTAACATGCTGTAATTCTAGAATATTTACTGTTAATGTTAATATTCAGTAGCTTGTTATATAAAAACTATAACACTTTAAGATATATTTACAATTAACTAATTGCTAATTAACATGCTTATTAATAGCATATTGTCTATAAAATTTGTTGACACTGTTAGAGGTGCACACACACAGGACCAGGATAGACTTTTGGGCCTTTCTATGTTGAGTTTGCATGTTGTTTCTGTTGGTTTCCTCCAGTTTGTTCTATAGTGCAAAATTTGCAGTATAAGTGAATTTTGGATAAACTAAATTTGCGGTAGTTTGTGATTAAGATAATGTGTGTTGTTTCCCTGCACTGAGGATTGTACCCTCAGGGCTGTGTTGCAGAAGCATTAGTATCTGATTGCAGACTTGCATATGCAAGCTGAGACACACAGTTTGACATGCAATGTCAGAAACAATGCACTCAAATAGAGCTAGTGACGTCAAAGTGAGGGGTCGGGTTAGGAGCGGGGTTAGGTGTGCGCATTAAAATTGGTTAGATTTATTTTTATCATTTTTTGTGTTCTGTAGAATAAGTAAATAAAACTTTGTGTTGTTTACAAAGATCAGCTTATTCACAAACACATTCATGTTATTCACATTCTACTGCTCAGTCCTCTGACATTTTTTCTATATTAGTTATTTTATTCATAAACAAAACATTTATGTCTATTTAATATTAAAATTAAATAAAAAAGAACAATGTTGTATGTAGCATTTGATCTAACAAAATTATTATAAAAATGTAGAATTGCAAAAAATAACACCAAGAAAACAGCACTTTAATTCAGCATTATTAGATTATAAATTCATTTGTATTATTGTCTTAATTCATTCAAATGGAGAAACTGAACAAAACATTAATGGATCAAAACATAATAAATGATGAAACTCATTGCATTTATAGACATTTATAGACATACCAGGTAATATGAAAAAAATATGAATTTTACTCATGCTGGAACATTTACATATAACAGATAATATAAATTTATATTCATAGCAGCCTTAAAGTAAAAATAAATCCATTATTGAGGAAATAAACTGAATTAATATGTGATAATGTTACAAACATATACTTTCCCGGATAAGCAATAGCTTATTCTTATTCTTAATAACCTAAAGAATCATTTTCAATCTCAGAAAGTCTTATTTAGAACATGCAATGTTATTATTTTCAGAGAAGGTGTAGCGCTCTCACTGCCTGATGAGGGACAATAATGTTAATAAAACACAGGAAACACAGAACTGCTGCTGCTTCACATCAGAGTCTGTGTTTTGTTTGAGAGAAAAGCCCCTCCTACTCATTAGGTATGCAGTCCACAGGCAGAAGTAGCCAATCGGAAAAATGTAAATCCTTGCATCACATTACATTAATTTACAACATTTATTTTCTATTTTCTAATTCATAAAACGAAAGTGTACAGACTTAGAAAGACAAATTAACTTTGATTTTAAATTTCTAATAATTTGTAACCACTTCAAAGGCTACCGTTAATTTAAAGTTAAACCGGAACTAAAAATACACAACACGCACTACACCCGATGTGTCACACACGGGCCACATCTGGCCCACATATAGCAGGCCACAACTCACACTACACCCGGGGTGTCACACACGGGCCACATCTGGCCCACATACGGCAGGCCAGAACTCACACTACACCCGGAGTGTCACACACGGGCCATATCTGGCCCACATACGGTAGGCCAGAACTCACACTACACCCGGTGTGTCACACATGGGCCATATCTGGCCCACATGCAGCAGGCCACAACTCACACTACACCCGGCGTGACACATACGGGCCACATCTGGCCCACATGCAGCAGGCCATAACTCATACTACACCCGGCGTGACACATACGGGCCACATCTGGCCCACATACAGCAGGCCACAACTCACACTACACCCGGTGTGACACATACGGGCCACATCTGGCCCACATACAGCAGGCCACAACTCACACTACACCCGGGGTGTCACACACGGGCCACATCTGGCCCACATACAGCAGGCCACAACTCACACTACACCCGGTGTGACACACACGGGCCACATCTGGCCCACATACAGCAGGCCACAACTCACACTGCACCCGGTGTGACACATACGGGCCACATCTGGCCCACATACAGCAGGCCACAACTCACACTGCACCCGGTGTGACACATACGGGCCACATCTGGCCCACATACAGCAGGCCACATCTCACACTACACCCGGTGTGACACACACGGGCCACATCTGGCCCACATACAGCAGGCCACAACTCACACTGCACCCGGTGTGACACATACGGGCCACATCTGGCCCACATACAGCAGGCCACAACTCACACTGCACCCGGTGTGACACATACGGGCCACATCTGGCCCATATGTCTCCTGCCATTGCCAGAAGTGAGCCATATGTGCCTTAGTTGGCCCAGATGTGGCCCAGAACTGTATGCTATCTGGGATATGTGTCTATAATACACAACATGATTATTCTTCAGGGTTTAAACGATGAATAGTCTACAATGTTTAAATCTTTAACATTTTAATAGCTTTTTTTTATAGCACCACCATATTGCATATTAAAAACTACAGTAGATAATTCAAAAATCAGATTAATAGTCCTCACAGACAAAAATCAATCATCGTTTCCCAATAATAATCTGAGCAATATTCATTTTGGGTTAACTAATGCTTTGGCTATGCTAAATGGAAACACTGAACAGGTTATTCTACTTAAACAACCTGTTTACCAGCTTAGCATTATGAGATATCTACGCGAGAGCCGGTTCTGACTGTAATGCATTCACTGTCAAGAAAACAAAAACACAATCTGTAATCGATTTAATAATTCATTATTATTATTTTTTGTTTTTCTATAGGAGCACTGTGTCAATTAGACGGTAAGTTTCACATACATAGACAACCACTGGGGAAAAACCTGAATAACCTGAATAACAGAAACCTTCGAATGATTTTTCAATGGCTATTATGGAAACTGTATAGGTTTTCGTGGAAATTGTTATGATCCTTGGTTTTAAAACTACTAAAACCAGATGGAATATAGCTTACTGTATCCCAAAGCACACAAGAAACAGTTACTGGTTTTGATGGTTAAAAGTTAATTCTCTGCAATGTTCTTACAGGGATAGTTCATACAAAAATGAAAATTGTCATCATTATTTACTCACCCTCCACTTCCTCCAAGCCTGCATTTCATCTGAGCACAAAATAATATTCATTCATTCATTTTCTTTTCGCCTCAATCCCTTTATGAATCAGGGGTCACCAGTGAAATAAACCACCAACTTATTAAGTATATGTTCCCTTCCAACACCTATACACACTCTTGCATTCACACACATACAGTGCAGTACTGCCAATTCAGCTTATTCAATTCACCTATACTGCATGTCTTTTAGACTGTGTGGGAAGCACCCAGTGAAAACCCACACAAACACATGGAGAACATGCAAACTCCACACAAAAATGCCAACTGGCCCAGCCGGGGCTCGAACCAGCGACCTTCTTGCCTTCTTGCACCACCGTGACGCCCACAAAATAATATAAAACTGCAAAATCAAACAAAAAGTGCTCAGGGGTAGCTTAAATAATGTGTCAGTGCTCTTTGGGTAAGGAATTTATCAGAATAAACAGCAAAAATCAGTCCAAGGCACTCGAAAATATGAAAAAAAAAATTAAAATATGGAATTATTTAGATATTTTTTAATCTTTTTTCCACATTTTTTCAAGTGCCTTGGACTGATTTCTGCTGTTTATTCACAAAATAATATATTTTAAATAATGACAAAACTGTTGTTCATGACCCGTTGACTTTCATTGTATTTTAGTTATATGGAAGTCCATATTGACCATCAACTTAATGGTACCAAGCTTCTTCAAAATACTTTTTCTGTGTTCAGCAGAAGAAAAGAAACAATTTTTAGTTTGGAGTTGAGGGTGAATAATTACATTATGATTTCTGTGTAAACTATAACTTTTAATATTATTTGTAGCAGACTTCTGTAAAGATATCTGTTCGGTACATCTATAGTTTACAAAAAAAAAAAAGATGTTTTAAACCACCACACATGTAGAACTTAAAAGGAACAGTTCATCCAGAAAGGATAATTATCCCATGATTTACGCACCCTCAAATCATTCTCTGTGTATAAGACTTTCCTTCTGTCAGATAAACACAGTTGGAGTAATACAATTTTTATCCTGGCTATTCAATGCTGTTTAATGATGCTGAATACATTCATTCATTCATTCTCTTTTCGGCTTAGTCCCTTTACTAATCCGGGGTCGCCACAGCGGAATGAACCACCAACTTATCCAGCACGTTTTACGCAGAGGATGCCCTTCCAGCACACACACACACACTATGGACAATTTAGCCTACCCAATTCACCTGTACCGCATGCCTTTGGACTGTGGGGGAAACTGGAGGATGCGGAGAAAACCCACGCAAACGCAGGGAGAACATGCAAACTCCATACAAAAACTGATCCAGCTGGGGGCTTGCTGCACCACTGCGTCATTTGCGACACTTCACTCCCATACATGAATTCGCTCGCGGGGCATCATGGGATAGCGCAGCGTGCATGGGATGCACACTCCAGAATCTCGCCGGAAGTAGTAAGTCATCCGGGTACTTCTCGCATACTGATTTTCGAATTCTATGAATTCGGACATACTACTCGGCTCGCATACTGATTTTAGCGTATTATATAGTATGGAAGTATGCGGTTTCGGACGCAGCGAATGATTTATTTTAATTTTTCAGCCTGACATGTTTACTGTATTTAAAATGTTTCTAAAAGTAAAATATAGTGTGTTTGTGGCGAGGGGGCGTGGCCGAGAGCCGTGGGAACGGTGTGAGGCCACCGCGTAAGTGGATACACCTGCGGTGCACACCTGCCTCGGATCCCACGGAAGGAGCTCTGGACCATAAAAGGAGGACCGATGGCAGAGGAAGCCGAGAGAGGACCAGGCCCGGGCATATTGTTTTACTTTTGCTTTCAGTTTGTTTTTGTTTAGACGGCAGTCTCCGTGAGGAGCTGCCTTCATTGTTATTAATAAATATTTTAAACCTGCGTCGGTTCTCCGCCTCCTTCTTCCCGGCGGCCAAAGGGCCGTAAACTTCATTACAGTGTTCAATTGGGAAAATAGTTGTTTTTTACGCAGATGTTTAAAAGTAACCAATTTTAGAGCAGTAATATCACAATACTGTAAAACCATGATATTTTTATTCAAGGTTATCATACCGTCAGAATCTTATACCAGCCCATGCCTAATTTAAAACTTGTCCGAATGTGTTCGTCTGACAGAAAAAAAAAATCATATACACCAAAAATAGCTTGACTAAATTACTCGTCCTTTAATATTAAAGTGTATGTTTGATTTACTGTATGTTTGATGGTCATCTTTTTTTTCCTCCTCAGTATGTGGCCAGGCGCCTTTAAACAACAATAATGGTGGAGACGATGTCGTTGCAGGCTCTTGGCCCTGGCAGGCGAGCATTCATAGAATTTCCCCTGAAGATCACATCTGTGGCGGGAGTTTAATCAATAAGGACTGGGTTTTATCTGCAGCTCACTGCTTCATGATGTATGAAGTGCTTTATAATATTGGTCCTCATATATGTACTGTATATGTATCGCATGGGAATTTACATATATCTTTGCTCTATTAACAGCACCGCTACAGCAAATATAAAAATCTATCTGGGACGTCAGTTCCAAACAGGCTCAAACCCGAATGAGATATCCAGGACATTGACTAAGATCGTCATTCATCCTGACTATAGCACAACTACTCAAAACAATGACATAGCACTGCTCAGACTGAGCTCTTCTGTCACGTTCACGGATTACATTAGGCCAGTGTGTCTGGCCAGTGCTGACAGTGTGTTTGCTGGAGGAACCAAGAGCTGGATTACTGGCTGGGACAAACACAGATCTTCAGGTGAGTTCAAGTATGCTCACCCTTATAGATGGCTGTCTAAACTCAGTCTTGGAGGGCTGGTCTCCAGCAGATTTTAGCTCAAACTTGCCTTAACACACCTGCAAGGATGTTTCTAGAAAGCCTAGTAAGCTTAAGTTTCAAACTCAATTCCTGGAGGGCTGCAGCTCAGCACAGTTTTGCTCCAACCCTAATCAAACCCAGCTGATCCAATTAATCGAGGTGGTTAAGACTCTTTGTCACTTTAATTAGTTGGATCAGGTGTGTTTGAACTGGGTTGGAGCAAAATCGTGCAGAGCTGCGGCCCACCAGGAATTGAGTTTGAGACCTATGCTAGTAAGAGTGTGATTTTGCAGGACTGAGTGTGGACACCCCTGCTTATAGATAATCCAAAACTTTCCAACGCGGTTCCTGATTCTATCCACTGAAGTGGTTTAAAAACTACACTGGTACAGTGGGGTTTTGTTTATCTCCACACAGTTCCTATATCGAATTTTAAAAGGAGAGTTATAAAAACTAACATTTATTTCAGCAGACTATGAATATCAGTTAACAGTTTCAGTATTTTGTGATTTAAAGTTTTTTTCTTTCTTATCTTTATAGTTAGAAATTGCGTTATGAGACTTTGATCTCTGCTATGTCAACTTTTGATGTTGAGAATTGAACTTGATTTAACAAAGTGACTTTTTTACATTTTTAGTGGTTTGAAACAGTGTACTACAATGAGTCTGTGAAGTTCTGGCAGTTTATATTGACAAACCTAGACATTATATCACTTCAAACTATTAAAAATGTCAATAAGTAACTTTTTCAAACTTTTCAACATCGAAAGTTGTCGGGAAAAGGATCAAGGTCCAATAATGCATTTAAACTGACACGGTTAATTTACATAATGTCACATAAAAATGTATTAAAGAAATATGTTGATGAATAGAGGTGATTTGTAATAAAAAATATAAAATAAGAAAGGGATGATAAAATTTCTGATGAAAAAAATGTTTTGGGTCTGTGTTACAATAAGGAAAAGTACAAAAGGTCATTTGAATATATATTAGGGCTGCACAATATTGGAAAAATCTGACAGTGCGATATTTTGTTTTGCTGCCTGCGATTATATATTGCAATATGAATGCAATTTCACCAGATGGCTTGAAAAGCTCTATTTTTGAAAAGTCATAAATTTACATTGGTTGGGTTGATTTTGTAAGGGTTTGAGTCTGGTATATAAAAAAAGCAAAAAAAAAAAAAAAAAAGCAAGAATAATTACAATACTATTCTCAATTGTGTTTAGACTATAATTCCAATTTAACATTACATACTTGGGATTATTGCGGACACACATTGCGATATCGATGCTGAAGCGATATATTGTGCAGCCCTAATATATAATATGTAAAAGATTATTCTGCTCAAAAGTAGAATCAAAAAGTAATCGAATAGGATGACATAAGTTTCATCAAAAAAGAAAAAAATAAGTAAAAGAAAAAATGATTTTGAAATGTGGCACTGAGGTGGGGAAAATGACAAGTTTGCACTTTATCTCACTCCATCCTAAATTCATTTGTTATTTTAAAGAGCCCCTATTATGTTTTTTTTTTTTTTTAAATGAGCTTCCATGCAGTGTAGCACAGCACTAAGAGAATGAAAACGTCCAGCTAAGGTTTAAATCTGAAAGTGTGCCGTGTTTAAAACTAATGATCCTTTAATGAAATAGTCAACTCAGAGTCGAATAAATGAATCATGTTGGGTTCGGATCTTTTGCCTTAATACATCGATGTCGACACTGACTGTACATCACCAAATATGTAGTGCCGGTTCCAGTAAAAAGTAATCACGCATTTCCCTTCAGACACTAGCATGATGGAGATTCAGGTGGGGGGAATAAAGGGTTAAACTTCATTTTCAAAACAATACCACAGTATAGGCAACCTAGCGCTGTGTTTGTTCCTGTCATTTTTCTGATGATTGATTCAATAACTTACACTTCAAAGTGGGATTCATCAGCCATTTGCTATTAAAGGAAAGAACAGCAGAGACTGCTATGTATAGGACTTTGTAGTAACTGTTACAGTTCACATGGACCAGTTTCTTCTTCCTCCGGATCAACATGTAAGTGAAATTAAAATTGTTGCCTCATTTTGTTTAGTTTGCAAAATATAAGTTTAATTGTGTGTTTTAAGTTTTAATCACTCCATGTGGCTTGAAACCCCTTATCTATTACAGATCAGTGCTTGTACTGTATCACTCAGGTAAAATTATCACATCGCGGCCAAAACCACGTTGAAAACGTGATGCATGCTTATACCTCTAGCAATTTTAAATACGTTTCTGAACTCACGATCCCCTGTCATTTACCTTTGCTATGGCCACCATCACCTATTCCAATACATGTGTCGCCACCACACTAAATGTGTTGTTTTTATTTAGGGGTTAGGTTTAAGAGTAGAGTAATATGATGAATATGATGTTTAATTGCATTGATTTATTGCATTCTTGCATTTGGCTCTCACATACTCTCTGCTACTTCATAGTCGTGGTGGGCGTTTCTCTCTGTCTCACACTGAACGCAGTGGACCAGTCAAAAAAGACTGGGTCATCAGCAGGCACGTGCACACATAGGGCTCAACGTGTACCGTGCACATGCCCTTTTTAGTCTTGGATAGAAAGTGCCCTTCCAAAATTCCATGATTCGCGACAAACCCCAATCACCCCCTGCCCCCACCCCCCTGCTCTTCAGTTCGCGAAAACCCAACCCACAACAGCACCCCCCAAAATCCCCCCCACCCCCGATCTTCAGTTTGCGGAAACCACCGCCCCCACGCCCTCATTCAAAACGAATATATAACCCTTTAATAATGCAAAATAGGGGCTCTTTAAGTGTATATTTTGTTGATCATAATGAAATGTATTTTGTTTGAAGAACTGTTTTAAGTGTGTGACATTTTGTTAGAAAATCAAAATCAAACCAAATAGAAATTAAATCAAACCAGGCAGAAATAAGAAAGCACAAAGATTTATTACCTGAAGTCTTTTAAACGAAACTATCCAGACTGCAGAAAACACATGCACATGAGTGTCAATGATTAAAATATTTTTATTTTTTGTTTTAGATATTCAGGTTACAAACGTGCTGCGGGAGGTGCAGTTACCGGTTGTGAGCAACACAGAATGCAATGCAGACTATAAAGGCATCATTACAGACAACATGATTTGCGCTGGAATAAATGAGGGTGGAAAAGATGCATGTCAGGTATGATATTCATCGTCAGGTGTCCACTATACAAATTTAGGCAGTACTTTGCATATTTTTAAAAAGTAAAATGTGAAGTGGTCAATGTTATACAACTAAAACAGCAACATTTTTTATTTAATGCCAGAAGCAACACTTCTCTTTTGAACGTTTTTTTTTTTTGCAACAAATCCCTCTGCTGCAAACAGAATCATCAGTTGAAGGCGCATGATTCAAGTTAAAAAGCCTTTATTCTCATGGCTAGTTTTGTAAACCACACATGCACCCCTCTCTCTGTATTGCTTTTCAGTAATTTTGAGGTTCTTTGTCTACAGCAGATTTGCAGTTTACCTTTGGTCAACAAATTAATCAAAGGGAATGTACGCATCTTATCCAAGCATTTATGGCACAAAAAGCACATTATATTGAATGTGTTAACGTATGAGGTGTTTCCTGGAGTTTATAGTGTATAGTTGCATAGACAAACTGGATTTTCTAAATGAACAGATTCCCAATGAAGATAATTTCTGAATGAACAGATCAAACTTTTGAGTTTTGCTGTATTATGGACAGTTTCGCCAAATAAACACATAGCTATATCTGTAGTTACCATGACTTTCATGCAGTTTAGGTGACATATAAATGCAGAATAAATAAATATTAAACTATTTCCAAACAGTTTTGTGAAATATTGCTTTTTTGGATTGCCTAAAATTGACAAATTCACTTTGAGCGATTTTGAAAAGTAAAAAAATCCTAGAGCTAATTTGCTTTTTGTACATGTATTGCCAAAAATATATATTTTTACTCCATTTTTTATTTGTTCTCTATTCTACATATCTAAATATTCTTGAGTCAGTATACCATTTACTTCAGAAGTAAAATATTTTCAGATACAACTTTAAATTGTTCTCTAAGCAATCAATTTGAGTCTAAAGAAAATCATCAGAAAAACAATCCTTTCAATAATTTGTCTGTATTTTTCTGCATGAACTGGTAAATATTTAAAGTTGGAATAAATATAATAAAAGGTATATTCCAAACAAAAATTGTATAATATTTTAAGAATTAAAAAGCATGTCTCATGTCTCAAAAGCATTGCCTCTTATAAAGATGTACTATGATTTCTAAAAGATAACTGCAAACACAAAAACCCAATGTTTTTACTTTATCTTTTGAGCAGAGACAGAAGTGTTTATTGGTAACTGTTTAATGCAGGGAGACTCTGGAGGACCAATGGTCAGTCAGAATGGCTCTCGATGGATTCAGTCTGGCATTGTGAGTTTCGGTCGAGAGTGTGGACTACCAAGGTACCCTGGAATTTACACCAGAGTCTCTCAATACCAATCTTGGATCACGTCTGAGTTAAGAACCAACCTGCCTGGATTTGTCTCCTTCACCTCCACTGAAACACGCTCCAGCTCACCGAGTCTGCTTTCATTTTACTTTTCTCTCACATCATCTCTCCTTCCTCTAATTTTCTCCTTTTATCTATTTTTTTGAAAAATGTATGGTTTATTAATTAAATTTTTAATTTTTTTTACAAATGTAATTTTTATTTATGCTTTGACGTATTGAGCACTAATAAAACATATTTAGTACTGTATAAACATTTGGGGTCAATGCAATTTTAAAATAAAGAAATATGTTTATTCTGAAAGGATGTGTTGACATCTAGAATGTTACCCAACATTTATATTTTAAATGAATTCCCAGATAATGCTGCTACACACACACACACACACACACACACACACACACACACACACACACACACACACACACACACATACATATATATATATATATACATATATATATATATATATATATATATATATATATATATATATATATATATATATATATATATATATATACACACACACACACACACACACACACACACACACACACACACAAATTTTTTTGTCAGCATATTAGAATGTTTTGTGAATGATCCGGTGACACTGAAGTAATAATGCTGAAAATTCATCACAGAAAATTAAAATGTAACCCAGAACCACAAAACCATGCAGTCTTGTGATGAACAGCAATATTTTTTAACAATATAGAAAAATAAATTAAATGGGGCAGAATTGTAGATCTTTAATCATTTATGCCAAAATCATTATAATATTAAGTAAATATCATGTTTCATGAGAATATTTAGTACATTTCCTACTGTAAATATATCAACTCAATTTCTAATGTGTAATGTACATTGCTAAGCACTTCATTCGACAGCTTTAAAGGTGATATTTCCAATGTTTTAGATTTTTCTAAACCCTAAAAGAGTTGAAACCTTACACAAAACGTATGCGTTAATGGAAATTTTATTTATCAGCCTGCGCTTAATAATAAAAAAATTACTGGACACTTATGACTGGTTTTATGGTCATGTATTAAAGCAGAAAACAATATATTTAAAATTGTAATAACATTTTTTGTTGTGTTTCTCTGTAAATAATGCAGCTTTGGTGAGGAATCAGTCTAAAGAATCAACTTTTTACTTGAACAGTAGTTTTAAACTCATATGCACTTTACTGTTTGTAATAACATGTCAACATGAAGCAATACAAATGCAACTCAGTCCCTTTTGTGTGTAAATAAAGTGTTGGAGAACTGTGAAATTAAACTAATACTTTTGCTTTCTTTTGCCTGAAAGCTCAAAACAACAAGATGCCTTGAAATGAATAGGAAAGAGTAGTGACTTACCCACACTGGAATTTACCTGAAAACATGAACTCGACTCCAGGATATTCAGGCCTATTTGAAATCAGCAGAATGTTTGTTACTGATACAACATACCTCAACAGTACGTGCACAGCGAATACGTGCACATAATAATAAGAAATAGGAAATTCTGAACAAAAATGTTTATTCAGTTTTCGGGTTTTAGTTCATTTGAGTTTACCAATGTGCAAAATGTGGTTAAGGGCTCTATCTTGTGGTCTTCTTTTCTTTTTCTTCTTCTTTGGGTTTTATTGGCGGTTGGCAAACAGACTTATAGGTGCATTACCGCCACCGACTGGTATGGAGGATGGACTAGTTGAATAATAACTGAAATGACTTGGGGGGAGAGAGAGGGGGAGGACATTGTGAGGGGGGAGATAAATAACAAAAATAATAATAAAAAAAATTACATTTCAAAATAAAATTGGGGGAAGGGGTGGGCTAACAATTAATTCTTCTGATTATATTAGATCTATATTCTTTTCTCTAACTGGGTTTCTTTATTAAATTTCATTATATCGTTATATACCTCACTAGATTTATTTCCTAATAAACCTGCCAATTTGAAATCCTGAAGTTTGCTCTTTTTAACTGATTAAATAAGATCGTTTCGTTCTTTATTATATTTACTACAGTGGAATAAAACATGTTCTATTGTTTCTTGTTGATTACAGTGTATTGCCCGGTTGGGTGTTTCCCTATTTTATGTAAAGTATGGTTGAGTCCAGTATGACCTATTCTCATCAGAGTTATAATACTTCCTTCCCTACAATTTCTGTTCTCCCTCCTCCCAGCACCGACTTGTTTATGTATATTATATAGATGTCTGCCTGTATCAATGTTATCCCAGGGTACTTGCCATACTGATTGTGCATACGTTCTTATCATGATTTTAGCTTCTGCTTTGCTCAATGGGACTTCTAGATCTAGTTCACTAATTCTGAGAGCTTGTTTGGCCAGAAAGTCTGCCCTCTCATTCCCTTCCACACCGTTGTGAGCAGGAACCCAAATAATATATACAGATTTGCCAATCATTTTATCACAGTATGTCTTACAGAGTATGTTATTAAGAATATCCATTCTGAACGATGACCTTCCTGATTTTATACTTTCAAGTGATGAAAAACTATCTGATGCAATTACTACACTATATATGTCATTTTCCTCAATCCACCACAGGGCAATTAATATTGCAATTAACTCTGTTGTATATATTGATTTATTATTAGTTATTCTTTTCTTAATATGGGATTGATTAACTGGGATATATACTGCTGCGCCTGTTTTACCTGTTTGTGGGTCTTTGGATCCATCTGTAAATAAAAATATCGATTCTTTATAATGTTTTTCTAAATAATTCTGCACTATACATTTTGTTGGAAGATTATTATTGTTATCTTTTAACTCCTGTTGTATACTGAGGTCAACATTAGGTAATGGAAAAAAACATGGCGGAATATATGGGGTTGGGACTGACTTACAGTATTGCAATTGATCTAATCCAATTATTCTGGCTTCTGCCTCAGCTATCCACCCGAAACTTATGAAATTAGTTTCGTCATGCTCCCAACATTCTAATAATGTTAATTATTAATAATGTTATTTAACCCAATATGCCATCATTAATTTCATTCTTCTAAAGATTCTCCCATTTCAACCTGCATAGATGAAACTGGAGAGGTTCTAAATGATCCACTACAGATTCTAAGGGCCTGCGCCTGTAATATATCTAATTTCTTGAGGTTTGATTCTGCTGCCGACATGTAAGCTATACACCCATAATCAAGGACAGATCTCATGAGGGCACAGTATATATTTTGTAATGATGTCCTAATCGCTCCCCACTCTTGCCCTGACAGGCAACGAAGTACATTAATAAACTTTTTACTTTTGTCTATGATTTTATTCAGATGATCCTTCCATATCAGCTTTCCATCGAACCAAACCCCAAGAAACCTTACAGTTTTTACTTGTTTTAGTGGTTGCCCATATAGTTTTAAAGCAAGTGATATGGTTTTATGCCGTCTTGAAAAACAGATGACCTGAGTCATCTGTTTGAAAGCAAGCAAGACAATCTGATCTGTTGGATGTTCATTCTTTACAATTGTTGGCAGGAGCTTTAATTCAACCCCATTTTGATTATGCTACGTCATTTTGGTACAGTAGCTGCTTACAGAATTTGAAGGAGAAATTGCAAAAGACACAAAATAAATTAGTACGAATAATTTTAAAAATGCACCCTAGAGCACTTTTGCACAAAGAGTCTTTTAATAAATTAGGTATGTTAACTCTTAGTAATAGAGTGTGTTTTTTTAAAACTGGAAATGGTGCGTAAAATGTTTAATAATGTGGTTCCTAGTTATTTGATGAACTATTTTCAAATGGTGAGGCAACAGCATTCATACAGTACTAGGAGTTGGGATTTTAATATTTGTTTATTTAAATTTAGAAGTTTAGTGGGGAAAAATGTGTTTTTATATACAAGTGCAATCATGTGGAACAAACTACCAAAATCAATCAATGAAATAAAAGATTTAAGGTTGTTCAAAAAAGCTATCAAAAGATGGTTGTTTGATGAGGATAATTAGTTTGCATGGTGGACGAGGATGTTTTAATTTTTATGTTACTTGAGTGTGAATAGGTTTGCGGCTGGAAGGCCATTAGCTGTGTAGAACATGTGCTGGATAAGTTGACTGTTCGTACCACTGTTGCAACTGTTTGTTTTATTCTTCATTAGTGTTTTGAAGCCATACATTGTTTTTATTTAACAGAGGACCACAATGGAAATAGGCCCAGGGCTTTATTGTGTTTTTATCCTCGACAGTTTTTTTAACAAAGTGTATGGAATACTTTTTGTACAGTTTGTCTAAAATCTGTCAAATAAAATTCAATTCAATTCAACAGATATTTTGAATCCCCTTTTATTTGCCCGTTTTCCACCTCAAATATTGCATTCTGTACTTTCTTTTGAACAAATGACACATTCCGGCCTCTAATCTAAAATGCCCCATCATCTGCATACAACGATTTTTCTACATTTTGTTCAACCTGACAGAAAATGTCATTTATCATTATATTGAACAACAATGGGCTGCAAACACTACCTTGAGGAGTTCCATTCTCCACTGTGTATTCATTTGAATATTCTTTTACTTTCCCTAACTTGTATCTTTCTTCCAAATAAGAAATCCATGACTCAATTATACGTTTTGCCAGTGACTCCTAAAGATTTTAATTTAATCAGCAATCTCTCCTTCCAAAGCATATAGTACACCTTTATATCAAAAAAAAATATCTATAGCTTTTTTTGGTGAACTATGCCTTTAAGCAATTAGTTGCTTTTGTATAAGCATGAGTATGGACTATAAGCAGGACTTCACATGACCAAAATGCTTTACTTCTGGATGTTTCTTCAGTTAGCAACATGGTGGCTCAGTGGCCTCACAGCAAGAAGGTCACTGGTTCGAGTCCCGGCTGGGTCAGTCGGCATTTCTGTGAGAAGTTTGCATGTTCTCCTTGTGTTGGCCTGGGTTTCCTCCGCATGCTCCGGTTTCCCCTACAGTCCAAAGACATACGGTTTAGGTGAATTGAATAAACTAAATTGACCATGGTGTATGAGTCTGAATGAGTGTTTATGGATGTTTCCCAGAACTGGGTTGCAGCTGGAAGGGTTTGGGTTACGACCCCTGATAAATAAAGGAACTAAGCCGAAGGAAAATGAATGAATGTATAAATGTTTCTGCAGTTAATGGCTTACTGGACAGACTTTGATGAAAAAAAAGACTAAAGGTCAGAGAATCCATCCGAAGTACAGACTTTGGTTTTACAGCCTTTCATTTTCAATGAATAATCTTTTTATTAAAGGTACGATCACTAAAAAATGAAAGTTTACTCACTATTGACACATCCTCAAGTGGTAATAAACTGTTATCGGTTTCTTTTCTTCTGCGGAACACAAAGAAGATAATTTGAAGAAAGCTGAAAACCTGTAACCGACATGCTTTAACCCAATGTTTCTCAACTACATTCCTAAAGGACCACCAGCTCTGTGCATTTTCCATGTGTCCTTAACCAAACACACCTGATTCAGATCATCAGCTCATTAGCAGAGACTGAAAGACCTGTAATGGGTGTGACAGAGAATGAAGACATCCAAAACTTGCAGTGTTGGTGGGCCTCCAGGAACGTGGTTGAGAAACACTGCTTTAACCTATAACCACTGACTATTGAAATCAATACCCTTATCCAAGATTCAAAATATCTTCTTTTGTGTTCAATAGAAAAAATAAATAAAGTTTTTATCATGGAGAGTGAATGGAGAGTAAATCATGTCAGAATTTTCAGTTTATCCCTTTAACTATCCCTTTAATTTAGCAAATTAGATGGTTTGTCTCTTATCTTCCCATAGAGGCAGGGTGAAAAAAGATGTGTCCATAAAGCTTTGGATACATTGGTGATTCTGTTTATTTCAGTGATTTCTGTTTATATTTTAGATTTTACATTAGTTATAGGACCACACCACAGTATTTATTTTGACAACCTTTAAAGGAGAAAATTCAACTTTGATAGTTTAAATACATTAAACTGTAGAAATACAAATTTGTAAAATAGCTGATATAGTACTGGGAGGTCATTAACCAGTTATTATACCATAATTTGCGAGACCATCCCAGATAATAAATAGTTTTAAACTACAAAAAAAAAGTCAAAGTCACTTTGTTAAAGATAATTTGTAAAAATCAGAAGTTGGAGAAGAGATCAAGATCTCATAAATTTAATTTAATTCATTTTTATTTCGATAGCGCTTTTACAATGTAGATTGTGTCAAAGCAGCTTAACATAGTAAATTGAAACAGTGTCAGCCCAGTTTTCAGTGCTGAAGTTCAGTTTAGTTCAGTTCAGTGTGGTTAAAATTTCACGGCTAAAAGTCCAAACAATAAAAAACAAATCCATCGATGCGCAGCTTCAAAAGTCCCAAACCAAGCAAGCCAGTGGTGACAGTGGCGAGGAACAAACTTCACCAATTGATGAAAGTGAAGGAAATAACCTTGAGAGAAACTAAGCTCAGTTGGGCCCGAACATTTATCCTCTGGCCAAACTTCTTGTGCAGAGCTGCAGTCTAGGCGCCAGAGGCTGAAGATGTTCATCGTGGAGAAGCTGCTGGTGTGAAGTGTTCAGGCCGGCCCACAGGATCAATGCAGAGACTCTGAGAATTTAATTCTGGTGTGTAGACTGTAAATTGAAATCGTACATTTTTGAAATCGTATCAAATGATTCATATTACACAAAAAAGTTATCAGCACTGATCAAGATCAAGTGTTTTACGATTTATTTTAAATAAAAACAATATAGTATAATGCAACTAAAGGTCTCAATGCCTTTTGATTTCATTTTCACAGTTTTTTTTAGCTGATTACAACAAACAAAGCAGAGTAAATGGTGGATAAACAGAATTCTGTCTGTTGAATGCAAGGTTTTAATTGGCTGTTTTTTTGCCAGTGTGATCTGATATTTTGATGAATGCACTGCAACTTTGTATTTAAAATGATTTTCTTAGCACTTTGTATATAAGCTAATACTTAATCTGAGGAAATTTCAGAAAGCTCAAAAGAACCAACTGCATACTAAAATGGCTAATATTCTAACTTACAGTACATTGACCCTAGATATTCAATATGTTATCGATAATGATGATGATGATAATGATGTCACGGACACCCTCAAATGAGATCAAAAGTCAAAGGAAATGTTCAGTGTACGACTGTTTGTTTTACAACATTTGATAATCAGACGCCTTGCGCTGGGTTAGAAACAGAACATCCTGGACTAAAAATATCTGCTGTTACTCTAGCACTTAAAAAAATTGATTATAAGCTTTTTAAAATGTAATACAATGTAACATATGCTGGGATTTGCTGAGGTCCTCACAAGCCACAAATATTTTTATAATACAAAATAAAATCAAGTACCTCTAACATTAACTGAATTTTTCAATAGTTCCCACCACTTCTTTTGACTAATATGTTTTCATCAGGTTTTACATTTTGAGAATGTCAACATTTTTTAATATACATTTTTTTTCTCTGATGTTTCTTTAGGTGATTCATCCAAACCTGTTTACAGTAAATATACAGCTATACTCAGAAGAAGAGTGATGTAATTCAAATGTGCTTGTTTATTATAACATAACCTCAACATTTTTTGTGAAGTGTCTAGATTAATATTTTCAAAAAGAGGCGGGTATATTAAGTGATATGAATATGAAACTCCGTAAATGAAACTGAATATATCATATAAATCATATAAAGTAAGTAGCATTATTACAGGAAGTAGTGTTGAAACAGTTTTACAGCAGGGTGTGTATAGCCTACTGATATCATTTATAGAAGGCTATAGCAGTAAAACATGATGTGCTAAAGATTAGGTGAGTGATAAAGCTCTACTTAAGTCAAAAGTGTTAGCTTCACCTGTCCTTTCTTTTCTGCATTGAAGAAAATATGAGGATGATGCTGCGTTTAGCTGTGTGTGTAGCAGGAGTCTTACTTCTCAACATATCAGGTAAAATCTTCAACATGATAATAATAACAATAATAATAATAATGTTTGTTTTGTTCTTTTGTTTCTTATGAAAAAATGTCTTTTTAAATTAATTAGTCATTTTATTAAAATTAAGTAAAATTAATTAAAATTAAATTTAAATGAATTAGTCATTTAAAAAAAATTAAATTTCATTTTATGTTTAACTCTTTAAAATCACTTGATTACAGACAAAAATATGCGTTACAGTCTTGTTTTAGATGAATTTTCATGACTTCATGAAGCAAATAACTTTAAATAACCTTTTTTGTTTGGGTTATGAACATGTTCATACTCTAAAGATCATTTTTACACCCAAAAAAACCCCAGAAAAAGTTATATGCTAAAGGTTTATGGAGCCACTGACGTCAATGAAAAATTTTAAATTAAATTAAATTAAAATTAAAATTAAATTAAAATTAAATTAAATCTATGATTGAAGTTCATTTGAGATTTTTAGTCATTATTTTCAGAAAAATCTGAAATTCCACACACATATTCAACATTTCTGTTGTTAAAGGTAGTTTGAATTATATATTTTTCATAATATTTTTTTTCATTGCAGTGGTTGTCAGGTCAGTGGAGTTCAATTGCACTCTAGGAATCATGTAATAAAACGTGCAATAAAGTGCATGAATCAACAAGATAACTATTTAAATATGTGCTCATGTGTCATAGGCAAAATTTTTTATGATTTCTGTCCAAAGAATAAAAGATGATTCATACATTTTACTGTCAAAATCAGATAATTATATGAATACTTCACTATAAAAGTATGTATTATATTAAATACTTTAAAAATGCATTTTTAAATTCAAACCTCCTACTTACAAGACATTTACAATTTTGACATTAAGTCTAATTTATTTCTTCTTTCTTTATTTATATATATCATTTTTAACGTGCTTTTCATTATCTACTCTTTAAAATGGCTAAACTTTTAACAGCGGTCACACTGAACAATTTTGGGTTAAAAAGACATCTTAAAATCTTCATAAATCGACTTAATGTGGCTGACACAAAAGGCATCAAGATTGCTAATATGTGCATGCGTTAATAAAGTGATATTCTGAGTTCAAAAGCGATGTTTTACTGTTTAACATGACAGCGGGGAAGGCAGCATGTTGTCTGCCACGTAATTTGGGATGCCATGTTGAGGGTTGCTGCAATGAAAACCTTATATTTTGTACTTATTCTCTTTTATCTTTTTAGATGTTAGTCTGAATCAAATCGTTCTGTTTGTAATGCGTACCGAACCAAAAGTCTCGTACCGAACGGTTCAATACGAATACGCGTATCGTTACACCCTTAATTATAAATCGCCAATGACTTGACGTAGTTTATTATGATGCGATTTACCCTCTATGTGTGATTTGATTGGACGGGAATCACGGAACAGATTTTTCTAATCCCCATAGACAAGAAAAAAAAATTAGGGACTGCATGTTGAAGGAAAGTAGTGTCGTAAAAGCACTGATAAAACATTAAAAATGTACTCAAGGGAAAGTAAAAGTATACATTTATAAACTAATCAGTAAATTACAATTTCTGAGAAAAACTACTCAATTACAGTAATTTGAGTATTTGTAATTTGTTACTTTACACCACTGTCTGAGTAAATGTACTTTTTTTTCCTCAATAGGCTCACTCTGCCAGTTAGATGGTAAGTTCCTGCAATCTTAAACCCATCCAAACCCAGATATGTAAGGTAGAAATGTTATGATCTTAAGAATCAGATTGAATTCTCACATCTATTCTCATCAGTGTGCGGCAGAGCGCCACTCAAACCCAGGATTATTGGTGGGCAAACTGCCATGGCAGGCTCTTGGCCATGGCAAGTGAGCATTCATTATATTCCAACTGGAGGTCTTTTATGTGGTGGGACTCTAATCAATCGTGAATGGGTTTTGTCTGCAGCCCAGTGTTTCCAAAAGTATGAATTTCTGATACATTGCACATTTAGACTGAAAAGCCTCTTAATTAAGACTGTTTTATTTTCTATTGACAGATTGACAGCATCGAACTTAGTAGTCCACCTGGGACATTTGTCAACAGGAGACCCAAATGTAATTCACAATCCAGCATCTCAAATCATCAACCATCCTAAATATGACTCGGCTAAGAACAAGAATGACATAGCGCTCCTCAAGCTTTCCACTCCTGTGAGCTTCACGGATTATATTAAACCAGTCTGTCTGACAGCTTCTGGCAGTTCACTTGGTAAAGGTGCTGTGAGCTGGATCACTGGATGGGGGTCAATTAATACTGGAGGTGAGGGCAACTTAAAAATCAGTTAAATACACATTCAAGGTGACAATTTGGTTTAATAGTCTACACACATTCTACTAACGTATACTATATATATATATATATATATATATATATATATATATATATATATATATATATATATATATATTGCAGCATACACAGGCTGTCTGTGATCTGCTTATGCTTTATTTTTAATAAACAAATATTTTATTGATTGTAATTAAATTTGCAAGCACAGATTATTCTACATTAACCCTAAGCATTCTGCAAGTTTAACCTACTATATTTTAAATAAAAAAGAAAACGCAGATAAAATGGTGATATAATAAGTGGCATCTTCTCAGTAAAACCACTGGTAAGGTCACTGCATCACTGCAACATCATTTGGAGCTTTGATTGCCATTGAATGCCACTGCATTCGATTGGAAAGGGCTCATCCCAATGCCTAAAGTGGGTACAGGCATACAGTCCAAAGATATGCAGTATAGATAAATTTAATAAACTAAATTGTCCACAGTGTATGGATGTTTCCTAGGACTGGGTTGCAGCTTATTCAGCCACTGAGTGTTCCCCCTTCTCAGACGGACCCGTGTCTTCCCTACCCACTAACCAGCTTATTCAACGCAATCTCATGGCAGCTCGTAACTTTTTGATTTAGTGACTAATTCGTATGAATTTGTATGATCTAATTCGTACAATTGGTGGGGTTAGGTGCCACGCCTCTTTTTTAAAATCGTACATTTTCGTACGATATTGAATACTGAACTCATACGAATTTGTATGAATTAGCCACTAAACACACAAAACGTAAAATACTTACACTTCCTCGTGAGATCAGGCTGGCTTATCATATGTAGCACTCCACCTGGATAGTGCTAGTCCATATGTCCATATTGCCATCAGGTCATCCCATTTTGGGTAGCAGGTGGTCTCAACAGCATCCTCCCCCTTCAGGGACTTGCACGCTTTCCCAACATCGTAATTAAAAAAATCCTAATCTACATTAGATAGGTAAAAGCACATTTACGACCCTCAATCTAAATTGTTCTAAATTTTTCCCATGTAATGGTAATTAAAGGGTCAAGGAAGGGAATCGGAAGGTTGCACCCTTGGTGATGCTCGTGCGCTCACGCTATGCTTGGCAAACTTCCAACAAGGGACGTGACAGTCTTAAGCTGATGTTGCATTTTCTGTACACACTCCCATATATCTTTACAAGACACACACTGGAGTGCGCAGTGAAAGGGAACGTCTCAGTTACTAACATAACCCTTGTTCCCCTAACAGGGAACGGTGACGTGTGACTCCGATGCCACAGCAGGTTCTCCAGTTGATAGCTCAGTGTTTAACTCTTCAGCAGGCTAAAAATGTAACTGCTCGTTCTGCGCGTGCAAGTTATATACGCTGCTAATGATTAATCACTGGCACCTGCGGAGCCGAGCTCTGCCAACTAACTGACAATCATCGACCCGTTTTCTATACGCAGAGTGATTGGTCAGCTAGCGTCCTCCCAAAGTGTCTTTCCAGACACATGCCTCTGTTCCCTATTTTGGGAACGAGGGTTACGTTAATAACCAAGACGGTTTGTTTATTTAATTGCAGACTAACTAATCATAATAACAGAGATGAGAGTGAAAAGATGCATAAAGTTAAGTCTAAAATAAGTGTTATTCTTGACAATAATGTAGTCATCATTAAAGATAATTATAGTTGGTGTGAATGGCCTTAAATTGTGTTTTTGTGCTTATTTTCATGCAACAGGCACTCAGTTTCCAACCACCCTGCAGGAGGTGAAGATCCCAGTTGTCAGCAATGGTGACTGTAAATCTGCCTATGGAAGTTTAATTACAGATGGCATGATTTGCGCTGGACCGAACGAGGGAGGGAAAGGCATATGTGTAGTAAGGAACCGATTACTTCTTTACTTAAACATGCTTACTATTTAAAGATAATATAAACAATGTGGATTGTTCATCTTTTCAGGGAGACGGTGGCGGTCCACTGGTTCACAACAGCTCTGAGCAGTGGATTCAGTCTGGCATTGCGAGTTTCGGTCGAGGCTGCGCACAACCCAAAAACCCTGGCGTTTTCACCCGAGTGTCTGAATACGAGTCTTGGATCAAGTCTCAAATCAGCAAAGACCAGCCTGGATTTATCAAATTTAAAGACAGTGCCAGCTCAGTCAGCTTCTCTGTATTTTTAATTGCACTTATTCCTCTCATCCACTCTCTGTTTAGTTAAAAATTTAGCTCTTGAAGTACTCAATGGTGATAGTTATGCATTTTTCAGACATTTTTCCACCTTTATTCATTATATTATACATGTATATGTGTATTATATATAGGTAAAAGGCACAGATAGCAGAAGAGCTTAAAAGGGACTTTGTGTTGTATTCTTCATATTTTGCATTAAAACATTCAAATTTAAAGTACGAGCATGTGATGATTTTTATTGTGATAATTTATAAAGAGAAATTTAACATTTAGTTCATGATTCATAGTGTTGCATAATATATAATAATAATAATAAAGGAATGCTATCAGCGTGTTATGTTTTAACACATATGATAAAGTCTAAAGGAGAACTGTACACTTTTAAATAAGTAATATTAACAAACAACTGAAGAGATTTCCTAACCAGTAATTGTAAAGGAACACACAATTCACGCAGGGCTTCAGCGTCAACGGTTGACAGAGGGCATGTCTGAAGTTGGGGCTGATGCGATCGTCATATCGTTAGCCAATGAAATTAGTCAGCAATCGGCAACTCTTTGAGGTGTATTTGCATACAGCGATCTGATTGGATGACGCTTCCGTTGGCGTTCGAAAAGATGAGAAAGTCCCAACTTCTGCAGTGAGCAACCAAAGATATATACACTACATATCGCATACGAACCCTGAGCATGCATCAATAGTGCCGCCACATTTGTACAGTGCTCCCAGGACAAAATTCTTGCAACCGCACTAGTCAAGACAGTGCGCCAGATGTGTAGATGCTGGACTTAGGCAGAACATAGGCCTAGGTAAGATTTAGTTTTTAACATTTGCGCTAAACAAGTAACGTGATTGATGATAATACAATCTCTTACTGCATTCACAATAAGGCAAAGTAGCACCAATTTGCACTAAAGTCTAGGCTTATGCTAGTTTTGTTAAATAAAATCAATGTAAATGAAACATGTAAATGAAATGACAACAAGACGCTGTGGGTAGAAACTTGTATTATTGTCGGTTAAGTGAACAAGTTGTTCATAATGGGGATTCATTCAAAAACAATTTGCTCCCTAAGTTAAAATGAGAAGTGAAAACAGGGTGTTTCAGGGCACGGATTAGGGAACACCCCCCAACATTGGAATATGTGTGTATATATATCTCTGGCTTTGGATGAACAGTCTTCCACTGCACCTTGGTCCCGCATTTATTTCAGTGCTAACCTGTACTAAAATGGCGGCTCTTTTGGCACATTCCTTCCAATAGTCAACAATAGTGTAGGCGACATCTAACGTAAATATCTATGGCGAGCAATACCACTGAAGCGGCGCCGACGGACCCACAATTAAGTTTGGCATTGCTTGGCGGAAGAAAATGAAAGTGAACAGCGGACGGGGAGTAGGACTATTGAGAAGGACAGGCACTTTTTTCCAGGGGTTTCAGTACAGCGTAACCGCTACTGCGTCACCGGGTGGGCGTGGCCTATCTGTGAATTTGCATAGGTCACGGATCATGCGCAGATTGTGAAAAAATAGCCGTTTGATTCAGATACCTGTACCAAAGAGCTTAGAATGACCAAGAGGCGACACTCTATTGTAATTTGGGAAACAGCCACTAGAGGGCGCGGCGGCCATTTTGAAAACTCCAATAGAACAACAGTATATTATAAGTCTGTAAAATAAACTATTGAAAGTGCTAATGTTCGTGATAATACGTGTTGTATTGTCGTCTTTCAAGTTGCATCTCAACTTTAATTCGCTTTTTAAATAAATAAATAAAAAACAAAGCAGCTGCTTGCCATCGCGACAGTAATGAGATCCAATGTACGGCCGATCACTTTCACTCCAAAATGGCGAAATCCGGGGCTGTTGCTGGGCGCTGCTGTTGCAATGGAACATTCTATTGAGTGTCGCCTCTTGGTCATTCTAAGCTCTTTGCCTGTACCTAATCGCAGGGGTTCCGTGTCCAATGTCTTTTATATGCAGTACTTTAAAATAGCTGTCCTGATCACAGGTGTTTCATGTGAAGTCAGTGTAATATGTTATATTAAACAAATTAACTTAAGATTCCTCTCAGATTACATTAATACTGTTATAACTTAAGATACCTGTCCTGATCCCAGGGGATTTGTGTCAAATACTTTATAAATCATATACAGTAACATCAGATACCTGTCCTGATCCCAGGGGTTTCATGTATTATCACTTTTATATTATATACAGTAACAACAGATACCTGTCCTGATGCCAGGGGTTTTGTGTATGATGACTTTATATAAAAATAGAAAATAAATATGTGTTATGTTAATTTACTAAGATCGAGTAAGAAAAATTAACCACAATTTATTACAGAAAAATGTGGTATTTATTTGTTTAAACATGACTGAATACCATATTTTAAACTACAAAAACACGGTTAATCTAATGTACCACAACCATTATTATTATTATTTTGTGGTTTACCATGGAAGTACAAAAGCCCAGAGACTTTATTGTTTACAGTAAAACGGAGTAAAATGTGGTCGGCTGTTTTTGCTAATGAAATCTTTAAAATATAACATTATAAAACAAAAAATAACCTGTATGATTGTTTGAGCCACGCCCATTTTAAGTTGTGGTAATGAAACCCCTGGAATTTAGTGCATGCCGTGCCGGATCCAGGACAAATTAAGCCCTGGTCCAAATGTAGGATTTCTGACAACTAATAATCAAACTATATATTTGAAGCGCCAATAACAAATAATTCACCAAAAAAATTATTCTGTCATCATTCACTCACCATTAACATGTTTAAAACCTTTTTGAGTTTCTTTCTTCTGTTGAACACCAAAGAAGATATTTTGAAGAAAGCTGAAAACCTGTAACTTGTTTGGAATTATATTTTTAGAAGAAATGCACAATATAATAATTACAATTCTGATTGTTCAATAAAAGACCAGCCACCATGGAGAAATACCTGTTTTCACTACAAGAGAGGGTGTCTGTGCTTGTTTTAGTTCATGATGGGTTAACTCTCATGTTTATTAAACTTGTTAAAAGAACATGTGCATTTTGTAATCAAAGTATTTGCCCTTCACTTGGTGAAATTGTGCATTGTCATCATTTAAGACTTGCCTGTAGATTGCTTGAGCAGTGGTGTGGATTACAGATTGTGTGTGTTTGCACAGCCTGTTGCACTGATGACTGATGTATCTTTCTCAGATATGACCTCTTATGCAATATAATTTTCCACACGGCGCCAATTAGACACACAGTCTCCGATTTAGAGTTTTTTTTAAGCACATGGGACATGTATTTAAAGGAACAGAAGTCACGTTGTTCACTAAACACTCCAAAGAAAACTTATGTAAATTACAGTTTCAATTTTTAAACATGCACTTGACAGAAAACATCATATAACAACACTCACTAATGTTTAAATAAGTGTGTAACTGTGTGTAACTGTGTGTATGTTGCCAAGCAGTGACTCATAACACATACTGGTTATGTGGGTTATCTGAGAGCTCGAGCACATTAATGATACTGGCACAAAATGGTGAAGATACTTCATACCAGAAAGCTTCCAGGAGACAGATGGGGGTCAAAATAAGATCAGCTGACAACACACCCCTCCAAAACTGCACATGGACACACACGCTTTTCAAGGTGATAATTACACTGGATGAATGGAGATGGTCCAATCAACTCTGTGTCTTCACGGCTTTCATAGATGCATTATGGTTATATATTGAGGATCAGGAGCATCATTCTTCTACTATTAATTTAAAAAAAAGAGTCACTGCAATTTTTGTTTTAAATTTTCAGAATTTCGAGTTTAAAATCAGATTTCATGCTTGCTGGTTTTAATTTAATCTCTTGATTAAGCATGGGTTTCAAGGTTTACTGTGGTATGGAAAGGTCAAGGTTTTAAAACTGGTAAAATTTTCTATTATACCATTCCTACTGTATATGCATGCTTTTTTCCTATGCGTTTTTATGACTACTTTCTGTAGTTCCTTAGGGCATCAGTATCTCCAGCAGCAAAGGACCATCCACATCAAATGCTACTGGTCAGCCTATGATTCAACAAACATTTTGCTAAACACATTGCTTTTGCACCAACATCCAAGTATGCTATACATTTAACAGTGCAGTGGCTTACTTTATATCCAAGAAAAAGAAAGATGTCAAAACTTGCCTTTTTAAATCTGTTTAATGAATTAATGAATAGTTAATGAAGACAGCAGAAGTCAATGATTTATTTAAAATATTTAGCCTGACATGTTTACGGTTGCAAAATATTTTAAATGTTTCTTAAAGTCCAATATTTTTTTTTAAAATTCACTCAGACATTTTAAAAAAGTAAATTTGAAAGCAGTAATCACAAGTCTTTGATACCGTGAACCATGATATTTTCATCAAAGGGTATCATACTGAGAGAATACTCAGACCTGCGTGCCAATTCACACTGCGCACTAAAAGTAAGTACTTTTTTTGTAAAGTTAAAGAGTACACTTTTGACTGTGCAGAGTAGCCTACGCAAGCTATGGGGCATACTTCCTCGTTAGCAGATCGCTATGCTCAGTTAAGTCCTCTGTCTATAACACATCATCCACATTTCTTCATATTTAATTTCCTACCTTATTGGAGAAGCAGCAGCAGGATAATCTGCCATTCGTCTTTCATGCAGAGAAATCTCAGGTTTTTGGGTAAGTATGCATTCAGAAGTTGTCCAAACACGTCTTTATTTAAGTTCACATTGTTGTTGCAGAAGAAATATAACGTTAACACGGTTTAAATATGTTCCAGTAGGCTAGATATTGATCTACACTCATTCTAACAACTTCACCGAAGCCTCTCTACTTGTTTAGTCTCGCGTGTCCGCCATGTTTGTAGTTTGTTTACACTTTTCACCCGCGTTTGTAGTTCTAATCAATTTTACGTCCAACGTGCAGTGTATTGTGGGGTTAGAGCAGGGGTGCCCAAACTTGGTCCTAGAGGTCTGATGTCCTACATAGTTTAGCTCCAACTTCCTTCAACACACCTCCCTGGAATTTTCTAGTACCAAGAAAGTGCTTGATTAGCTGGTTCAGGTGTGTTTAATTGGGCTTGGAACTAAAATATGCAGGGGTTTGGACATCTACGCTTCGATTTTTTTCTGGGCATAATAAACCATCCGGGTATTTTTGCTCTTTTCAACATACTACAGTTTTTGAGACATACTAATTCTATTTTTGAATAGGCGTACTATTTAGGATGGATATTATGCGAATTGGGACGCAGCACAAGTTCTACAGCAAACAAGAACACTGGTATTAAGGAATTATTAAGTCTTCATCATGCCTAAATTAAAGTAACAAAAAGCTCTTGAATG